GACGGCAGCCCACCAGGCTCCCCCATCCCTGGGATTCTCCAGGGAAAAACACTGGAGTGGGTTTCCATTTCCTTCTCCAATGCATGAAAGTGAAAAGTGATAGTGAGGTCGCTTCGCTCAGTCTTGTCTGACTCTTCGAGACCCCATGGACTGCAGCCTACCAGGCTCCTCCATCCATGGCATTTTCCAGGCACGAGTACTGGAGGGGGGTGCCATTGCCTTCTCTGGGTTACACGTTTAGGTTTCCCTGATAGCTCAGTTGGTAAAGAATCCTCCTGCAATGCAGGAGACCTTAATTTGATTCCTGGGTAGAGAAGATCTACTGGAGAAGGGATAGGCTACCCACTCCAGTATTCTTGGGCTTCCCTTGTGGCTCAGCTAGTAAAGAATCAGCCTGCAATGCAGGAAGAATCTGACTGCAATGTGGGAGACCTGGGTTTGATCCCTGGGTTGGGAAGATCCCCTGGAGAGGGGAAAGGCTACCCATGCCAGTATTCTGGCCTGGAGAATTCCATGGACTGTATAATCCATGGGGTTGCAGAGTCAGAGACGACTGAACAACTTTTGCTCACTTTCACCACATACACACATCTTCCTTACGTTCATCTTTCCAAAATAATTTGGAGTTAAATATTTTACATTTCCAAGACTATGTAAATATGTAGAGCTGACTCCATGGTATACTATAATTACATACATTTAAACATTTTTCTGTTTTCTATAAAGTTTTTTCCTTTCCCTTTGACTTGCATAGATTTCTAGGTACTTCTCTCATCCATCCCTCAATTGTCTTATAAAAGTTTCATTTCCTGTCAGTAGTTCAAACACATCAAGCATTTCATCAGCCTTATCTTCTTGGGACATTCCATTCAGCTGATGATGGCATTTATTATGGCTGTTCAGTGTCCTCACTTATAGGTTTTTGGCTTCTTCACTGGTTGTGAATGATGGCGGAGCCAGGGTGGGGGGCGTGGTAAACTGGATAAGTGAGATGGTACTTGTGTTCAGAATGTTGGGGATTTTCTAGTATTCCATACAAATAGAGGATCTAAAGTGCCTTCTCTGGGATGAAGTATTTTCAGTAGGTGATATACTTAAGTGTTAGTGCCTATTACTCTAATGTTGTCTTCTCTCTCCTTTTCTTTATAGATATCAACTTCCTTATACACAATTCTGTAAAATACTTAATTAGTGGAGTAATATTTTCTCAAATTTTAGGTAAAGTAGCAAAATTTTCTTCCCACATAGCAAAAAATAATGCATTGATATTCAACCTTGGAAAAATATTGCTGGTGGCATTAAAATTGTTACAATTACATCTGAGAAATAATTTGCCAATATGCATGATAGCAACAAAAATCATCCTTCCCTTGCCTTCGAAATTTTAGTCTAGGATTCCATGTTAAGGAATTAATTTAAAACATGGAAAAAGCTGTATGTCCCAATGGTATTATTTGCATTGGTGAAAAACTGGAAATATTATGTCCATTAATAGGGGAATGGCTAAGTAAATGGTGGGAATATATACTTTGCTTTTTATGTACATGTAAAAATATGAAAATACTTACTGTATTGTAACATTAAACAACAACCAAAAACTGAGTAGTCTGCCCAGTACCCTGTTCTTACAACTATGTAAAACATAGATGTTGAAAACTGAAACCATCTACTCCATACAGTTTACATGAACATGACCTCCATATTCCAACATTTGCTGGTATAACTTTACTCTTCCAGGAGTCTTTTTGCCAGGTAAATAACTTTATTTTTATGATGTAATTTGTCAACAGACTCATCAAGTTGTCAATAGAAAGTATCAACTAACAGTTATGTCCTAAGACTCTCTGAACCCTGCTGTTTCTTACCAATCCTCAATAATTATATCATGATCTGTACTCAGTCTTAAGCCCTGCTTCTTCAAAGATCTACCTTAAACAAAACTCCAGAATTTCAGTAAAATCTGATATTGCCCTTGCCCCTCTGAGATACTGTCAAAGCTCTGTTGAAGTAATGTTCTCTGTTATGTCAGTCGGCAGTGAACTCAGCCGTGTATTATTGATTGATCATATTGGGCTACTTGGGGAACCAGCAAGTAACAATATAGGAAAAATGTGCAACATATGCATAGAGAAAAGACAAAAGGAATATGTAAAAATAATAGTTACATGAGGGGACTGTCAAATTTTCAAGTTTTTTTTAAATGGTATTATGTAATGAGGACAAGGTTTATTTCAGTTAATAACTAAGAATTCATTCTGGTAGAGCTATCTTTTAATGTGTTAAGATCAAATAAGGGCAAAGCTGTGTAACTTATTTTCTTTGTTGTATTTTGTAGAACAATCAATATCAATCCAGAGAGAAGACTACTAAGGTAGAGAAAGAAGCTATTCATATTGTAATTAGGCTTGTCGAATTGAAACACTTGTGGATTCAGTGGTGATGAAAATGTTCCCCAAATGCTCTAAAATCACTTAATGTTGAGAAATAATCAGGAAGACATTGACAATGACCTTTAAGTGAGTTCTGGTACTTAATTTAGCCAGTGGTTTGCTTAGCACTGAGTGACCTAAATGTTGTAAATCTAACTCAATATATAGATGCAGCTCACAAAATTAAAAGCCAGGCTTTATTAGCAAATTTGGTAGTCAATGGACTTTGCAGTGTTAAATATATTTCCTATCATTTTACGAACATCAGGGAGAAAGCAGGCATGCAGACAGTTTGTGCAGCTGGCAAGAGCAGCACTCAACTATTCCTTTTGTACATTTGGCAATTATTTACACAGCTTCTGTTCAAGTAAGGATATGCTTATGACAGGAATAAAGACAGAAATACCAAGATTAATCAGGTAATTTTATTTAATATTTACCATTCAGCAGCAACCAACATGAACATCTGGGCTAATAGAATCTCTTGAAATGTTCTGCTATATAGCTGCTTCAGAAATACACGCACATGATCGACTGTTCATTGCCCCAATTAAAAAAAAAAAATGGATTCAAGAGCAAATAACACTGATTTACACTGTGCCCAAGCACTAGTCAAGAAATCTATTAAATTACAGAGGAAAAGGAAATCAAAGCTTTGTTATCTTAAGCATGTCACCTTATTTAAATGGAGGGAAGGCTTTACTTCTTTAAAGCAACAGAAATATGTATCTTCCTATATATATAGATATATATATATACTTAAGGATGTGATTACAAACACAAAGTGTTATCATCAAAAGCAAAAGCTAGTTCAAGAAATTTTCAACTGAAAAACTTGCAAGATACAAAGCTAAAATTCATGTTCCTTTTCTCTATTAAGAATACTTTCGCTAAACATAAATATTTTAACATATATTAATTTTTCTGACATTCAAAACTGTAGTCAATATGGCAGAATTATTGTTAAAAGCACATATGTACAAATATTCTTTTTCCATACATAAAGTATTTGGCATAATTATAACAATCATACTGCATCCACAACAGTTTGCTTTTATTTTTAATTTTTTTACACGTAATGGTATCTCTTATTAAAATTAACCAGTTATGTACAAAAATACTTGAACATTTATTATAGAAAACCTCTATAACCAGTCTCAACAGCATATACCTGCTGAATGGTTTCGAAGGGAATATAAAAAAGTGGTCACTGCCTTCTGGGTAAGCTATCAACAAAAACACACAGTTAAACTAAAATGAGCTTCCCAACAAAAGAGGGAAAATATTCAACAGTATGATTTAAAATACAGTTCATATCTATTGTCAGTTGAGTGTTATAAACAGTCAGTAAAGAAAACAAGATATAAAATACATTACTACATACAAGGTGCTTTTCTCTTTTCACACTCCTACGACTGTGGCATTAGCATCCCTATCTAAATCTAAGATGCTATGTTGTAATGTTCAAGCTAGAGCAGTCTATAGCCATCCTCCTTCAACAAAAGGACAACAGGATTAGTTCAGCAGACAAGCCCCACTGGTAACAATGGAGTTGTGAGGAATTTCTTTTGTGCAGGACTGAAAGTTAATGCCCTTGCCTTTTAAAAGTCCTTTTGCCATTTAATCATGCTAATATATTTTCTCTACTTTTTTTCTTCATTTACTCTATCGATTTAATACTGTCCTGTATTGATTCCTGAATTCTTGTTAATAGGACACATTAATTTGTGCCTACTTAATACATGAACATCTCTTCTTCAATGACAAATTGGGTAGCAGAAATTATCTAAGGAAGCACAAGATTCAAGTAAACATTTCTCCTGGGGTCTTTTGCTTCATCAACCTGATGGGAACTCTGGAAGTAAATTGCACCTTGAAAAGAAATACAGTAGATACCATGGTGTCAGGGTACTAAACGGTTTACCAGCCAAATGGTATAGTAGCTTCTGAAGAATGTAGACAGCAGTCAAGGTCAAAAGCAACCTTCAAGAAGTATGTTTCAAGAACAAAACCGCTTCCAGTCCCAATCTTTGCAACTCCTTTAGTGTATATCTCATTAGCCTGCTTTAACTTTTAATTATGACGATGTGCATTCATTTGTCTGTTGATAGAAAGAGTCAGAAATCTCACCTTATTTACAGAAGTCTTCTAAAGTAAGGACCACTGCCTTAGGATGTGCACTGACTTAATAAGCTTTCATGAAGTATCAAGTATTCAGTAAAAAGTATACAACATTATCACGCTTCGTATTGTTCGACAATATTTTACTGGTTGAGATTATGTAAAAAAAAAAAGTGAACATAAAAAGATACAAAAGAAGGCTTTATCACTATCACTTTCAAACGAGAAACGGTGTCATGAAATTCAGCCATACTTGGGACATCTGGCGTTGGGGATCAGTAACTTTTAATATTGTGCAACATATTCTATTAAGCGAGTTTAAATTCCATTCATCTAAAGACAAATCTGAGTTAAGTTATTAAAGTGCCTACACTAAGGATGTCTTCTCACCATACCTCTTGATGTCTTGTAAACGGCAAAGAATGCGTCGCAGGGAAGTAGAAAAGGGATTTATAACTGGGAGACTTTCCGGGGCAGGGGCCTGGGCCGCGGGCCGGGGTCCGTCCTCCTGGTCCCGTTCTCCAGGTGGCCCGACCGCGCCGCCAGGGGCTTGGGGGGCAAGGCGGGCGGCTCGGCGGTGACGGGGATGGAGAGGCTGTGAGGCAGCGGCACGGGGCGCCGCAGAGTCCGCTCGTACACGCTGTAGGGCGGCGGCGTCTTGCTCTCCTTGCGCACCGGCTCCTCCGGCCCCGGCGGCGCCGCGGATGGCTCATTCACCTGATTCTCGAAGCCTGAGGTCTCCGACGTGCTACACCGGCTGAGGGAGGAAATCCCACTGCTGTAGCTGCCCGACAGCACGGGGGAGCTGGAGACGAGTCCTGGGGAGTGGTACTCCACGGGGGACGGGGTGAAGGACTGCACGGAGCCCTGTGCGGAGGGGAGACGGCAGAGCGTTCAGCGTCGGGGTGATGAGCTCTGCTGTGTCCCCCATCAAACCCAGAGGCCGAAGCCCTCCTCTCCCCCACCCCTGGGGAAGGCATGGCAGGCCCTGCCCTGGAGACTTCTGGGCTCTTGCCAGGCTCAAAAGCTGAAGGCTGGCGGCCCTCAGGCTATGTAGCCTGAGAGACCAGACGTTTCATCTGCACTGTTTTTAAAAGCCTCGGTTGTTAATTCTGTAAAATAGGGCGGTTTCCCACCAAATGTGCATTTCTTTAAGCACTGGAAGTTCTAGCAACATGGCTCACTATCCCTTTAGGCAGAGAATCTCTTGCTGAGCAGGGGCTGGCCCTTTGGATGGGGCCTGAATCCGTCGGTTTCCCGCTGTCAGCACCACATCACACAGACGCCTCATTGCTAACTGTCTATTCCCACTGGCAGCAAGATCTACACTTCCCTTTGGGCTTCCCTGCTGGCTCAGAGGGTAAAGAATCTGCCTGCAATGCAGGAGACCTGGTTCCATCTCCGGGTGGGCAAGGTCCCCTGGAGAAGGAAGTGGCAACCCACTCCAGTACTCTTGCCTGGGAAATGCCGTGGACAGCGGAGCCTGGCGGGCTACAGTCCGTGGGGTCACAAAGAGTCGGACAGGACTGAGTCACACACACACACTCTCCCTCTCTCCTAACAGCGCTCTGTGAAAAGAGGATTCTACCGGGAAATATTGCATCCTATGTACTCCTTGAGTCCATTCAAAGCCTATTAGCTCATTAAAGTCTGACAATAAAGGAACCTCAAAGGCTTTGTTCAGTCCAGTGTTTGCTAAACTTATTTCACCACAGACCTTTTTTTATACCTCCTCATTTATCACATAATGGCCTATAAAACCAAGAAATGTTATCCTACACTAACTTTACCTCGGTCTCTCTTTTTAAACATGAGAATGCTGGTAGACACAAATCCTTTCACTTATCAGGAGCCTAAGATCAAGAATGGCCAATTAAAAGATCCAAATTCACTGGTGTGTTTTGTTAAAAGTCTGACCCCAAGTGCAAAACAGGGCAGGTAAGCTGAGTCTCCTCCACGGGGTTAATTCCCTCATTTAATTGCTGAAAAAAACTCTTACGGAGTTTTCTCATTCTAAGCACAACAAGAGAAGGGGACGGCAGAGGATGAGATGGTTGGATGGCATCACCGACTCGATGGACATGAGTTTGAGCAAGCTCTGGGAGCTGAAGATGGACAGGGAAGCCTGGCGTGCTGCAGTCCATGGGGTTGCAGAGTTGGCCACAACTGAGTGACTGAACTGAACTGAAGCACAGCAAAGCTAGTAACGTGGTGGCACTACGCCCTCTAATGTCACCTGGAGTTACAACACAGTGGTTCATCTTTTCAAAGCCTGATTTGTAGATACTGCTACAAGGCTACCTGTGGCCAGCAAGAACACAGGCAGGTATGTAGAAAGAAGGGTATACACCACTTTGCTAATTGGTGGCTACGTGAATATTTTCAACTCTTTGATTCTATTATTAGGAATTATTCTTTTTTAATTTTACCTGATTACTAATTTGCACAATCAAGTTAAAAAATGCATATGTGAATCCCATAGCAACATGTGGGGTTCTTTGCGAGTAAGGGGAAATGTAACGATGCAGAAACACCGTGTGGCTTTGTTTCCAACACATTAAGATAAGTCTATGGCTCCCGGGGTGAATGCAGTCCCATGCACTTTACGATTAACACCTGCATGGCAGTATGACAACCAAACCAGCAGATAATTTGCACCCACTAGCAAATTTTGACATCAGAAATGTCAGCAATGCAAATCACGCTTTTTTTTTTTTGTGGCAATTTTCTCCACTGCAGGGGTGGGGTGGGGGAGGGGAGGTTTCCTTCCAGATTCTCAATTTCTACCAGCAACAATCCTGAGTACCACAGATGCACAGGATCACAATCTGCCCTTATGTGTTTGCAGAAGCTAGTTTCTGTTTTTCTTTTACATTAGTTCGAAATGTCTCATCAACAAAAAGGACACAGAGCATGCGAATCCTAAGCCATTCAGGAACAAATCATTCCTTCCACAGTCACTTCATCTTTAAGCCTCTGGTGTAGCAGCTCTGAACACCTACCTCTGAAAGCACCAACAATCCTTGCAGCCAGTCTGATTCAATTTGGATAGAGACTAAATATTATTCTTTACCTTCAGGAGGAATTTTGTATGTTTAGAGATGTTAAATAGTCTATGTCTTCATATGAAATCAAATATCTGACCTTTAAAGCTTTCCAGTTTGTTTCTCAGAGATTTTAAAATTCATTTTACTGTCTTGTTTTTCATGATCAAGTATGTACCTCTAATATAAATGGAAGCCTTGGTATAATACGTTAAAAGAGAAAAAGTTGGGTTTGGCATTTTCAAAATGAGTGAGACTGATGAAAAAGGCACTTGAGAATATTTAGTAGATCTTGGTTATTTTTCAGCATTATCCTTTAGTTTAAGGCACATCAAAAACAAACACTTAAGTTGAAAATATCCTAGAAGATACCGAGGGACCATTTCTTTCTAATTCAGTGTATATACTCACTCTAGTTTGTACACTCTCATTGCTACCATTTGGAGAAAAAGGCTAATAATCTGAAACCAAACAGCAGACTCCCCAAAGGGAAAGTCTAATGTTGTTTTCTCACCCATCTTCCTCTCCCCCTTCTATGTTCTCTGCCTGGTCTTTGTAGATGAAAGCACCTTATTGATGTAACAGGGGAAAAAGTAGCAAGGGGCCAATTTCTAGCTCCCATCTAAACAAGAGCCTGTACCTTCAGTGGAGATCGCCCAGCAGGCGAGGGGGATACTGATGCCGTGTGCCTTGCTGGTGAAGCTGTAAAGAGAGAGAATCATTTCAGTTTAGAAAACCAGACAGCTGACTACCTGAAAAAGCCCTCTGTGTGTACAAACCCATACAGGTGATCCCGCGCACAAGGATCTAGGCAAGGGGGGGCATGGGTGGAAAGACTGAATGGTGCCCACCCAGAATGGATTCCCCACAAAGGATGGCAGCTCCAAGACATGGGGTAATCAGTGAGAAGTAACCAGAGCACACATGATGCTTTAATCAAGTGACTGGTCCAGCGTCCTTTCCACTTCCTCAAAGCCCAGATGCTTGTCTGCCCCTTGGTCTATTTCAAAAGGCGCTTTTACGTGTGAGGTGCCAGGGAGCAGACTTTGGGCTGAGCAGGAATAGAAAGACCCAGGTCACCCAGACAGCTTCGAATAGGTCCCTGGGAATGTACTGACATCAGTCTCCCCTTTCACCACCCCTTGCCCCCCCTGCAATATTCCTGAAATTGACAGAAACCCCTTGGCTACATCCATATAAAAGGTAAGAAGTTTTCGATTTTTCTCCCTAATGTCTGTACTTGGGTTAGGAGGTCATCATTAAGATAAGAAGAACCCTCTCTGTTTCTCCCAGCAGATATTCAAGCCATACACCTGGGACACGGCCAGTGTGATGACTCTGCTGTGTGTGTGCCCTCGTGGACCAAATCCAGCTCTCTAAAGCGTAAGCACACATACTACAGCCAGCCATGACACTGTCAGCACGGGAGTATAAGCCAGATTTCCCAGGTCTGCCTACAGCGTTTTCAGTGGGCTCAGGGTTTGCTGCTCTGCGATGAGCTGCCATGCTCCCAGCTGTCACAGTGGGGTTTGCAGCTCGTAAGAAAACCACAGAAAGGCCGAAGGGAAGAGAGATGGTTACAGATCCCACCAGCAGTGAGCACACAGGATGACATGAGCACAGACCATGACAGCAATGAGTGCAGAAGGGAAGGCAGCACTGCCAAGGTAACCGGGGAGAGGTACGGTCACCTGCGTGCTCTGGGGCTAAGGACTAGGGAGAGTGGCCGGTCCCCCCCAGTGGGGTCGGGCAGATCCATCTTGCATGCCAGGGTATGCTGTTAGCACGTGCCATATTCCATTGCCACTGTTAGTTCTCAATTGTGGGTGTCGAGTATAGAATAAGAGCATGGATGTCTAGGGAAGCACATCTTGATTGGGAAATGGCATTTTTATTGTCTGGGACCCTCTTCCTCTCAACTTAGGCATTCCCTGACACCACCACTGTGGACCACCCAGCAGCCCCTGCATCCTCTGCATGTTTAGAGTGATGTTTCTCCGGAAAAGGCCTAAAATAGTTCTATCCTTGTCCTTGCCTACAAGGTAGAGTTAGCCTAGGAACCTAAATACCATGAATATTATTGTCCCTTTGAAAACACTTTTCAAGTTTCCAACTTTAGGGACACAACCAGGTTTAAACTGGAGGTTGCTGCAATGTACAAACATCATGAATAAAACACCAAGTACTGGTTGGTGAGTTTTAAACTTCCATGGTCACACTGACCTAGCAATGCAGATTATCAAGGAAGGCTACAGTTATTTCTTGTTCTGTTTGAAGATCTCACATGTCTTTCCAAATCTACTGGCAACTTCTAGCTTTGGAAAGTACAAAACAAACTGGGTAGCACACAGTTTATTTTAAAAAGATAGTTAGTTTTCTTTCTTTGGTTAAAAAAAAAGAAACTAGAAAGATGTTAAAATACAGCAAACGAAACAGGGTGATCAATCCAGAAAAATCCATGAAAAACATAGTGTCGTATTTGTAAAGCTTCAAAATGACTCTAAATATAGGTGAAGTGTTGAAAAAGCTCCCCCATCAAGAGGACACAGTAAGGTGCAACAGCCTCTCTTAAAAACTGCCCTCATACGCAGGTCACCCAGCAATGGCTTCTTCAAGAGGAAAGGGGGTCCATTACTGTTACAAACTCAGACAGGAAGTTTCTTAAGAATAATCTTCAGTGGCTCAAAATTTAGAAAGGTTTGGTAAAACACAGATTCTAGGGCTTTGGCCCAGATATAGTAAAATTCTGATTCTTAAACCACGTCCCTAGGAGATGCAGTGCCTTGAATGAACCCTTTGAGAAAGATGACCCTGGAATACAGTCTTGGCTAAGCCATAGGGGCAAGGTACTGGTTGGTTGGTTCTCCACAAGCCTATCCAAATCACAGTCAATCCTACTCACGGACAACCTGAAATGGGGGCATCAGTCCTGCAGAAAGTGGCTGGAGTTCGCAGAGGCTGATAAGAATGAGGTGCTTCAAGCGAAGGATAGAGAAGATGCTAGTAGTTCAGCAAGGTTAGGGTGCCCCCCCACCCCCAGTTCTGAGGCTGGTACCTAGGAAAAGAATGTTCAACAGTTTAGGAGTGGTGCGCTTGTGGACTTAGTATAACAGGAGTTGAGGAAAAAGAGGGAACACTGCAGATGAATTCTGTAGCTACTACAAAGGTTTTTACCTTGGACACATCAAATGCCTACCTTTCTGAGGAATTCAGGTCGGAGTAGTCAATAAAAGTTATTTTTATAAAAATGATTGTTAAATGCTTCAAATACCCACCAGTCTGTGTGGGCCGTGGAGGGACTGGGGGAGAGATGAGCTTCCCACCATCTGCTATGTTCTTGGCTTCCTTCCCACTGTCCAGGCTCCAGCTGCTAGGGGTGGGGTTCACAGCTGGAAGGGAATAACACAGCTAAAATCACATGGTCCACGTCACCCTGCGAACACTCAATCTTAGAAGTCAGAATTATCCAGAATGAACACAGCAGCTAGATTAAAAATAATAGTAAGGAAACTTCCTAAATGCAAACCCTTTATTTAATTGCCCACCTCACAATTATAGGTGACATTTCATTGGGTGATAGCATGTCTCTCTTTTTCCCTCAAGCAGTCAGAACTACACATCTCGACAAAAGAGTGTAGAAACTTGAGATTTACAAATGTGTTTAGACACTGGATAACAGATGGAAGACGTAGTCACTCGACTATTTTAAAACTTGATTTTTAGCGGAATTTTCTGGACAAATAGCACCCTAAAAGGGGGAAGGCAGTGGACGCTAATATCTCCACTTCCTGGCAGAATTACTGGTAAGGAACAGCCACACCACACCATCCTGTTGGCCCTCGTTCCTCAAGTCAAAGGGCTATAGTGGAGAACGTCCTAAAAAAATAATTTGGAATGCTGACAGTGTCATTCCTTTTTTGTAATCTATCTGCTGCACACTTCAGTAAGATGCAGAAATGTGGAACAACCCCGTTAGGAACAAGGGCAAGACATACAAGGTTATAAATAGCTGCTCTGAGAGGAGGTTTACAAAATCAAGTCTTTAGAGAGTTCCAGTCTGTTGCTCGCTGAGCAGACCCTGCCACCTGGTGGACATAGCCAGAATTTCAACATTTTATGATTATGTTACCACTTTAATTGGATGGAAACAACACTCGTAAAATACATTTCCTCTGGTCCTTTTAAAGGTAGCTTTGTGGGTTTTCTTTGGTAAAAGAGGTGAGAAAACGACCACCTTTCTAAGTTATCCAGACAAAGATCCATATTTGACTTGTAGTTGTAAAGCAAAATGTGTGCTTTGAAATAATTTAGGCTACAGTCTTGCTGATTCCTATCTCCCGAGGAAAGTTTTAATGTATCCGTGTACTCAAATGACAATGCAGTCGAGATCTTAATGGGGACAATTAAAATGCACTTTACAGGGATATGTCATTAATGTGTTAATTTGCTGGCTCAGGGACTGCTCTGATTTTTGAGGCTGACTGGGAGGTGAACGAGTGCCCTGCTGCCAGTCCCCATCCCCCGAGCTGAGGAAATCACATTTAATCCACCCTTCTTCTTCTGCTGTGTTGCACAGACCAATGCTAATTGGCTATTAACTGCTATGCATATGTTGGTTTCTCATTTTTCATGTGACCTTGAGGCAGGGCACACTCCATTATACACTGGATTGCAAACTTTCAATAGCATCTGAGTCACCCACAAGCAACAGATGAGCTGACTGCATGAGCTTGGTAAGGCAGACACAACGTGGGACCAAGGGCCCATCTGGGAAGGTGCTTACTGTCCTTGTGTTGAACAAGCAGCCTGACTGGCCACGTGGTTTCAGGCAGCGCAGGGACTGCCTCAGTGGCTCGTTGAGTGACACCTAAAGTCATTAAACAGAGGCGTCCCTACCTTGCTCAGATTCTGCTGCTAAATCCTACAGGAAGACAGTCTGTGAAGAATGTATCAGAAATAACTGCCTTCCATCTATCCCCTAAGAGCAGATCGGTCCTGATCATTAAAGGTCTGCACATCTGCCTTCCACAGGGACACAAGGGCGACTGGAGGAAATGAAGACACCACACTGTTACACGTTCCATGACTGACGAAGACACTGGCTTCATACCCACCTTTCTCAGGCGCAGAAAGATTGGGGTCACTGCGTGGCAAGGCTCCATCTCCAATGTGATTAAACAGCAGCCTCTGGAAAGGCACAAGAATATTTTTATGGTGCAAGATACTGACAGGTGAGATCTAGAAAATGAGGTGATTATTTTATTACTGAATGGTGTATGCTACTGCTCCGTCGTGTCTGACTCTCTGCGACCCTCTGACCCACCAGGCTCTTCTGTTCATGGAATTTTCCAGGTAAGAAGGCTGGAGTGTGTTACCATTGCCTACTCTAGGGGGTCTTCCCAACCCAGGGATCTAACCCACAGCTCTTGTGTCTCCTGCATTGGCAGGCGGGTTCTTTACCACTAGTGACACCTGGGAAGCCCTTACCGAACCTTTTGTTTTAAAAAAAATGTTTCATATGGCAAAATAAGCCATATAAAACATTACTGGCTTAACATTGTTAATGATTGGCTTATCATTATTGAATTATTGTTCAATAATGACTCAATTATATTTAAGGGAAAAAAAGGAGAAGACCCTTAGGTTTCAAACAGTGTTTCTAAATGGTGTTTTAAAAGTCTATAGAGGATTTCAAATATTGGGTTGGCCAAAAAGTTTGTTTGGGTTTTCCCATACCATCCTCAAATGAACTTTTTGGCCAACCGAATATAACTGGCAAATAAATTTTTGTAACAAAATATGGAAAAAATAAACAGTAAGTAGCAGTTAAGCTACAGTGCTCTTTATAAATACAAATGCTAGACTGGCAATATAAAATATAAGGAAGAAAGAAGAAATATTAGCTCAAAAAATCTCTAGTCAATGAACTTTACATTTTAAATCCTAGATTAGGTTAAAACATATGAAATGGTTAGTATGTTGCAATCTTTAACCCACAAAAATGCCAGTTTTACATAGTTCTACCTAACATATTAAACGAAAGGCACCAAGTCCTTAAAAGTAGATACACCAGAGGAATGTGTATTATGGAAATTTTGGCAACACGCACTGCTTCAAATTTTACCAAAAGCAGAAAACTTGGGAGGCTAATCTGGAAGTCTTTCAGAGTTCCCCATGCTGGTGACCTGCTCTCCAGGAGCAGAGGGAACAAACTGAAAGTCCTGGGCAACATCAAGTGACAAGGGGAAATTAAACCAGCCAGGTGGTTCAGGAAAATGCACTTGGCTACATTTCTGCAACACGTCCATGCTGTGTGGATGGGGTACCCTGGAACTTTTGGGAAGATCAGAATCAGCAAAGAAACCAATCCAGACAAATCCCCCTCATTCTCATCCATTTCCAGATGCAACTAGCCTTCTGCCAGGATGGTGTGGAAAAACAGAAAATGAGCTGGAGGATAAATAATGATTACTCTCTGCTCCTGAGTTATCCACAAATAACCGATAAAACTGAGGGCTCCATAGGAATCTTTACCTTTGAAACCCCGCCTCAAGGTGCTTAAAGGGCCCAGGGGTGAAAACGTTGGCCCTTCAGTCACTGAGGCTGAGAGACATCACTGCAGAGCTAGGTCTGAGCGGGTGGAGAGGGCTGCTGGGGAGGCCCCAGGGTTCAGCCACTCCCTCCTCAGTGAACCGCAGAGGCAAAAAGACACCCTCTTCACTCTTGGAAACCTCGGTAAGCAATCCGTGGCAGCCAAGCCTCTCCTCAAGGAGGCGCTAGGGTAAAGAACCCGCCTGCCAATGCAGGAGACATAAGAGATGCAGGTTCAAACCCTGGGTCGGGAAGATCCCCTGGAGGAGGGCATGGTAACCCACTCCAGTGTTCTTGCCTGGAGAATCCCATGGACAGAGGAGCCTGGTGGGCTCCTGTCCATGGGGTCACAAAGAATCGGACATGACTGAAGCGACCTGACACGAAGTACAAGGAGTTCCTCCAAATTTCTGCAGACAGACACACCCGCCCCCAACTCAGTCACCCCTGACCTCTCTTAATGTTCAAGTGGCAGCAACAAAATAGTCAGATCAAAGTGGGTAAAATCATTTCCCAATTCCCTCTCAGCTCTACTCCCCGGCAACCACCAGGCATCCACGTCAGATTCGACAGTTCACACAGAACTTCCTAACACCAGGCCTGGGGCCGAGGTGTGGACTTCACCCAGCTGGACTTGTCAGCGTGGCCCGTCTGGTGGTCTCTGGCAGCTCCTGTGACTTTCTGCAGCCCTGTAAGTAGCATCCAGACTTCTTGTTTCCTAGAATTTCCATCCCCCACACACTACCTGAGAAGGTTCCACAGGTGTCGGATAGATGGCGCTGCATGGCCGCTCTCTCGGGGACAGGCAAGCGTTTTCTCTGGAATGTTTGTGTTTGTCGGACAACAGAGGAGAAGCTGGGAAGAGATGGGAAGAGAGGCTCCTCAGGGTGGTGGTGAGCTGGGACCGTTTGGAGGAGAAAACCTGAGCCTACGGGAGACTAGAAGGTCCTCTGGGCGCCCTCAGTCCACCCCACGCCTTGGCACTGACCTCTGGCACTCGAGGGAGCAGAACTTGTCACATTAGGTGAGGCGGAGTGAGTAGAACTCAAGCTTGAGGTAGATGGACTTGGCTGGAAAACACGGGAGCTGTCATCAGATAAGGCTTAGAGGCTGCAGACTACACTGACACGTTTGAAACAAAATCATCATTTTTTTTTTTCCAAAGTAGGAAAAAAAAAGCCCATTAAGAATTATGGGAAAATCTCACTAACTCAGACCAATATGGATGCCTGTCTGAATTAATTAAAAAAAAAAAATCTGAGATTTTTGACACCTGCCAAAGGAATGCCTTTGTGTTCAATTTAGCTCCAAACAGCCTATGACTAAAGACCAGTTAGCAGCGGCTCCCTGACTAAAGTACTAGCAGAAAGGTTCCCAGCCTCGGGCAGGTAAACAGGTGAGTGCTTCTAAAAGGCAGAGAACATGTCTGTGCCTTTTCTCCAATGTCGTACGTTCAAAGCGTTAATTTGGCAATATGTGTTATGCCCCCTTTCCAGAGACAGAGGTGAGGAAAATTTCAGCTGAGTCTTACCGAGTGATTATCAATGTCCTGTTAGCTGTATCTAAACACAAATTTTTGTTGCAAGAGTTACACTGACACTTAAATCCCTAAAAACCTCTGTTTTTCTTTAGTAAACAGTTTTTTATTATGGGAAATTTCCAACATATACCTAAGTAGAGAAATCTTAGAATGGGCCCCTAAACCATATCTTCTTAAAGAAAAGAACAAAACACTTAGGAATGCTAAGAGGCAGCTGGTCAGTGGTGACAAGCTCCAGGACACCCAACTGAAGACCTGACTCAGAGGCAGAGCTCAAAGTTCCCCTTGCAGGGCCTGGCCGGGCTTGCCCACCGCTGGCTCAGGTCTTCCTAGAGTGGCCAGGGCAGCTTTGAGAGAATCAGCTTTGCAGACTCCAGAGACCAATAAGGCAATACAGGTGTGTAAAGGTTTGTCCTTAGGTCAAGTTCTCGCTCGTAGGTCTGTTCCTAAGCATAGCAGAGTGAATGGAAACACTCATGATTGAGACAGAAAGGGAATAAACAGGACCAGACAAAAAGAAAACAGCTGATCAAGTACCTGCATGTTAAAGACTTCATCAGAGCTTTCTGATTGCCCTGTAATATTGCTTACTTCAGCAGACGCTTGTGAGGACAGTGAGGAGGAAGAGTATCGGTTGACAGCTGGGTAACTTAATGGGCTGTTTTCAGGGAGAAAAAGAAATGGTTGTTAACTTAGTCTCTACATTGCACTTTATCACATGCTGGCATGGTATAAAAACCAAAGGGAAAAAAAATATATACATCCCATTTTGTCGCCCCCCGTTTGCCTCAATGTGATCAAACGTCTGAGTTTATTTCTCATGCTGTTGCTGTTTTACCAGTGGCAGATGTCTGCAGCTGCCTCTAGGGTTACTTATTTCATTAAGAAACCGCCTATTTGACAAATTGTGCCATAAAGAACGAGACAATCGTTCCACATCATCTTGTGGGAATGCCAAATTGTCAGATAATGTAGAATATGACTTACCTGCGTCGAGGAATTACCCTGGTACCATCTGGGCTCATGGAAGCAGGTGCTGAGTTTCTACACACACGAGGGCTTCCATTAGGAAAATGGACTGGACTGGCTTGTATACATGCGGAGAATTCCTAAAGAGGTAGTCAAGAAAATATTTCAGAATTGTAACGGTAAGGGCAGAATCACTCGAGAGGTGCTGTGTTGTACTAGATGTGCATTCTGATGGTCATAAAACCTTTATATAGGCACTTAGGAATGTAAGTTATTAAGCCTTCCCTCATTTACTTTTTTGTTTTCATGACAGTTAAGTGTGGTAAACCAAAGTTAATGCAATTTTAATATTTGAGGGCTCTCTGGTAAAATTTTGGTGCAGTTTGGCAGACAAACCAAAAGATGTCACTGTTGTATACTTCATGGTTCCTCTAACAAAAAGCAAATGGTAGAAGTCAGACTGCCCCCTGGCGGACCCTTTGTATACATACCTGAATCCCCAAGCTGGACTTCATCACAAAGAACTGGTCGACCAGCTTCTTGTGAAGGGGTCTCATATCCTGAGGCACAAACTTCTCGTGCACGGCCAAGCCAAATTCCAAAATCTGTGCCTTGAGAGTAATAGAAGGAAAAAATCCCCATCAGTGAGTACTGCCTTAAGTGCCTGCTGGGGATTCAAGCATGATGCCCTGCGTTTTGCATGCATTACTGTTAACCTCCCCATCCGACAAGATAGGAGCAATCCTTAGTTTACTGCGGAGGACACCGAGGATCAGAAAATTCTGCATGTGAAGATGTAGCAAATGGACTGGTGGACACAGCTGGGGCAGGAAAGGGTGGGGTGGATTGACAGCGTAGCAATGACATACACTATAATGCCCTGTGTAAGACAGCTCGCTAGTGGGAAGTGCCGTATAAAATAGGGGGCTCAGCTCAGTGCTCTCAATGACCCAGAGGGCTGGGAGGGAGAATCCAGAGCACGGGGACACATGTACACATATGGCAGATTCATGCCGCTGTACGGCAGAAACTAACACAACACTGTAAAGCAATTCTGCATGTACTAAAGGACAAATGGGAATCTGAACTTAAGTCTGATTCCAAGGACTTAACTGTCCTACTACCCCAAGTTTCTTTCCCATGTATTTTCAACCTGTAACAACAACCATATTTAACAGTTAAGCATCCCTTTGGCCCGTTCCTGCACTTCTCAGGAGGGGGCAAGGGATGCAGCTCCCTGTTAGGAGGGTCAGGTGGTTCTCCCTTAGTGATAAAAAACCTGCCTGCCAATGCGGGAGATGTAAGAGACGCAGGTTCAATCCCTGGGTCGGGATGATCCTCTGGAGGAGGGCAAGGCAATCCACTCCAGTATTCCTGCCTGGAGAATCGCATGGACCGAGGAGCCTGGCGGGCTACAGTCCATGGGGTCACAAAGAATCGGACATGACTGAAGTGACTTAGCACACACCACGTGGTACTCCCCACAGGACCTCTTTTCTGGCTGGCACTCTCTCAGCCTCGTTACCCTTCTATCTCCCGTCAGTTCCTCTGTCCCTACCCCTCCCTCTCTGATTTTCAGAATCTGTCAGGGAGGAAGGAATGAGAGGATATTCTGTAACAGTTGCAATGCTTTCTTGTTTTCCTTAAAAAAATCTTCTTCTTCTTCTCCTTTATAATGCAAAAAGGAACAGTTCCTATTTTCGAAAAAGGTTTCCTGCTCTGAGAACCTAAACTGAGATGAATGGAAACATTTAAGTTTCCTTTGTACAGCTAGGTCAAAAGTGTTTAATCCCTTTGATGGGAGTAGAAGACATCTTTCACATTTTAAAAAACGCCCCATGCTACAGTGGTCAAAAGGACACATTTCAGAGGCTGAGAGGAAACCAAATCACACGTCACTACTAGACAGTCCTTTATCTTTACAGCCCGTGATGGTTCAAGTTTGAAAGCTTCAGGGCAGACATGAGCAACTCTGGGGGGGTGAGAGCATCCAGTACCTCCCTAAGGGTCAGAACGGTGGCAACTTTGCCTGTAACATTTGCATAAAGATAAAAAAACACCTTGAAATAAATGTCAAGTGCAGTATGTCTGAGGCCAAAGGGCAAGCCCGGTCTCTGTGGGCAGGGAGGGGGGCTGGAGGAGTCGAGTCCACAGGCAGGGCCCTTGGTCCTCTGCATCTGAGACTCTGGCTGCGAAGGGCCCGCCCTTTGGTCCAGGTAAGGCTGCAGGTTGGGTGCTCCCGGAGGCAGGCTTCGGCATGGAGACTGGGCTGTTCACTGGGGAGTACCGCTGGGATCAGTGCCCATAGGAGGGAGGGGCAGAGCGGGACTGGACCGAATAGGAAACTGAACCTGCACAGCAGCCTGAAAGCCATTGCCCACCCCAGGGTAGCTGGCACCTTGAATGATTTGTTACAACTGCACTGTGTGTGCCCCAAATGGCCAGGCTGGGCCTCTCCTTCCCGGTTACCGGATGCAGGTCATCCAGGAAGGTAGGGACATTAGGCTAGGTGACACTGCAGCAGAGGCAATGCTGGAGGATCTGAGAGGCTAAGGTGTCTTCCAGCAGGTGGGGCCACAGGTCCTTTCTGGAAGGAGCCCTGGGGCTGTGCACCTCCGAGTCTACTAAACAGGTCTCTGAACCGCTTCCCAGAGGACCATTGCTCTCCAGCCCTGCAAGGACATGTGACTCGCCCAATGTCACAAGGCTATACCGTGCACGACTTGATAGGATCTAATGCTTCCTAGGCCACAGCTCTTTCCACAGGGTCCCATGATGCAGACAAAATAAAGGTTCCTCAATCTTTTTCTTCAGAGACTTCTTCAGTCACTCAGTTGTGTCTGACTCTTTATGACCCCCTGAACTGCAGGATGCCAGGCCTCCCTGTCCATCTCCAACTCCCAGAGCCTACTCAAACTCATGTCCATCGAGTCAGTGATGCCATCCAACCATCTCATCCTCTGTCGTCCCCTTCTCCTCCTGCCTTCAATTGTTCCCAGAATCGGGTCTTTTCAAATGAGTCAGCTCGTTACACCTGGTGGCCAAAGTTTTGGAGTTTTAGCTTCAGCATCAGTCCTTCCAATGAATATTCAGGACTGATTTCCTTTAGGATGGACTGGTTGGATCTCCTTACAGTCCAAGAGACTCTCAAGAGTCTTCTCCAACACCACAGTTCAAAAGCATCAATTCTTCGGCTCTCAGCTTTCTTTTTAGTCCAACTCTCACATCCATACATGACTATTGGAAAAACCATATCTTTGACTAGACGGACCTATGTCGGCAAAGTAATGTCTCTGTTTTTTAATATGCTAAGTTGGTCATAGCTTTTCTTCCAAGGAGAAAGTGTCTTTTAATTTCATGGCTGGAGTCACCATTTGCAGTGATTTTGGAGCCCAAGAAAATAAAGTCTGCCACTATTTCCATTGTTTCCCCATCTATTTGCCATGAAGTGATGGGACTAGATGCCATGATCTTGGTTTTCTGAATGTTGAGTTTTAAGTCAACTTTTTGACTCCCCTCTTTCACTTTCATCAAGAGGCTCTTCACTTTCTGCCATAAGGGTGGTGTCATCTGCATATCTGAGGTTATTGATATTTCTCCCGGCAATCTTGATTCCAGTTTGTGCTTCATCCAGCCTGGCATTTCACATGATGTACTCTGCGTATGAGTTAAATAAGCAGGGTGACAATATACAGCCTTGATGTATTCCTTTCCTGATTTGGAACTGGTCTGTTTCAAGTCCAGTTCTAGCTGTTGCTTCTTGACCAGCATACAGGTTTCTCAAGAGGCAGAGCAGTTGGTCTGATATTCTGATCTGTTTAAAAATTTTCCAGTTTGTTGTGATCCACACAGTCAAAGGCTTTGGCGTAGTCAATAAAGCAGAAGCAGATTTTTTCTGGAACTCTCTTGCTTTTTCAATGATCCAGTGGATGTTGGCAAGTTGATCTCTGGTTCCTGTGCCTTTTCTAAAACCAGCTTGAACATCTGGAAGTTCATGGTTCACGAATTGCTGAAGTCTGACTTGGAGAATTTTGAGCATTACTTTACTAGCGTGTGAGATGAGTGCATTGTGCAGTAGTTTGAGCATTCTTTGGCATTGTCTTTCTTAGGGATTGGAATGAAAACTGACCTTTTCTAGTCCTGTGGCCACTGCTGAGTTTTCCAAATTTGCTGGCATATTGAGAGGCTTTTTAGCCCTTTTGATTTTAACTTGAGGGAAAGAGTTCAGTCATACTGAATACAGCAGGTAAGAATCCTGGGGTAAGACAAACTGCTCACAAGAGAATTAAAAATCAACAAAGGCTAAAGGCATTCCATAATCCTAAGTACTCGATGACCTAAGCTGCTCATTTCATTTCTAGCAACTACATCATCCCCAGGGCCACAATGAGAATTTAACTTCTCCTCTTTTTCCTTTCAGGTCAAATTCAAGTAATCCCTCTTTTCCAGAAGCTGTCCAACTGACTTTTCAACCCACAGTCCTGGTCCATGGCCACTTCTCTCCCTTCAGTATCAATTTTGTGGACCAAGCCTACAGAGCATAAAATATGGACGAAAACCAGATACAGCCTCATAATATCCTAGTCCAACAGAACATGCTTTATTAATTTGGCATTATCAAATGGAAAGAGATGCTTCTGTCACATTTTGTCATACATATTCCATTTTTCATAGATATAAAATGTTTCATATTGATTTCCTATTGATTTATTTCCTATTTAACCCAGCCTCTCACCATAATGTCTCCCACCTCAGAGGTTTTCAAACCATTTTCAGGCCAAGAGCTATCAACCGGGGAAGAGAAAGCAACAGGTTATTCACCCTGGTTCTTCATATTTGATGGAACCAAAGAAGTAAAAGCCCACTGTGCTTCTGTAGAACTGAAAATGATGAGATGCTATGTAGATCTGTCTATGTCATATGATCTACAGGCTTTGTCTGTACAGCATGATACTGTTTTAAAGCAAAGGGTATTACTGATTGCCCACTTCCTTAGTCTAACATTTAAGTACGAATCTCATTCATTCATTTACTGAATCATTCATGTTAAGTTGGCCTGAAGTTACATGATCCCAAAATCTTGAGTGAAAAGTTGGCAACAAGTCTTTGGGGACTGAGCATTCAAAGAACGTGCCAAGGGCTGACATGATGTTTGCTATAAGGGGCTGCCATAGTCTACTCATTTTTTTGTTTTCCCCCCTACATCCAAGTGGGAAGAAAAAGTAGAAATTAGCAAGTCAGGATATATGACAAGTGAATCTGTAAACTGTGACTGCTAGATCGCTGACATACGGGGCTGGCCAAAAAAGTTTGTTTTTCTGACACAGCTTATGGAACAACATGGACAAACTTTTTGGCCAACCCAGAGAAAACCATGTAGATGGCACCCTGGGTAGGCAAGCACATGTGTGCATGGAAGAGGGAGAAGGTGATGGGCTTCTGCCCCTCTTACCTGCTCAAGCATCAGCTCTCTTAACCGTGCAATTTTCTCTCCATCTTCGGGGTGACTTAAGATATATTCCTTGACAAAGAATGCCTGGTAAGAAGAAGGGCAGTCAGGTTACTTCAAGAGGGTTACAAAGGAAGTGGAAGACACGCTTATTGTTTCTCAGGCTTCTTTAAAGAAATATCACTATTATACACCACTTTTGGGGGCTGGATGGAATGATTCAAAGTGTGGCAGCTGGTCAGAGGGAATACAAGGAGGTGATTGTTAACAGGCGATCAGAGACTGCATGAACTTTGTATGTATCTTTGGGAAAACAGCAAATCTAAATCCATAAGCTTTTATGACATCATGTTGTTGTTCATCATGTTCAGTCGTGTCCGACTCTGTGACCCCAAGGACTGCAGCACAGCAGGCCTCCCCGTCCTTCATTGTCTCCCAGAGTTTGCCCAAGTGCTAAAGAATGTTCAAACTACCGAACAATTGAGCTCACTTCCCATGCTAGTCAGGTTATGTTCAAAATCCTTTAAGCTAAGTTTCAGCAGTACTTGACTCGAGAACCTCCAGATTTACAAGCTGTGTTTAGGAAAGGAAGAGAAATCAGAGATCAGATTGCCAATATTTGTTGGATCATAGAGAAAGCAAGGGAATTCCAGAAAAACATCTGCTTATGACACGCTATCCTAAAAGAAGCTGCCTAAAGACTCAGAATTATCAAGATGGTAGCCCCATCTTCCAAACAAGATTAGATTCTTTTATGTACAAGGATCACTCTTTGCTTAGGGAAATGGGTTTAGGTAGCCATTTATTAAACAATTGTGATATCTTCACTACTTTTATTCAAGAAAACACACACATGCACATACTTTTAACCTCAAAATATCACATTCTGGGAAACAAAGTGTGCATCCCCAATGATTATACATTTGCTCTATTAAGCAAAGAAATCTGGTTGTATTGATTGTAACCCTATGTCAGCAGGCTGATGTATGTGCATATCTTGAAAAAAGACTTCTGAAACCTTAAAAAAATCACATATGAAAACTTTCATTTAACAATACCAAATCCTTACCTCTTGATACCTGGAAACTCCACCATTAACCGCAGCGTCTATAACTCCATTCAGGCACATGGTTAGGGGATTAATATTCTGCATCTGTCTTGTCTGACACTGACTAATCAGAGTCTTCAGCTGCTGATTCTTATTCTCCAGCACTTCAATAGCATTTTCCAGAGGACTCATTTCTACCTGAGAACAAATGAGCATAAATATATATTGGATTTTGTGACATTCAGGAAGAAAGACAAAGTAGATTATCCACATTCTGAATTATCTGTGCTCCCCTCAATATCTCTACCAGGGGCCATCGGTATAGAACAGACAAGGATATAGAAGACAAATTAGCTGTTTGTAAGGCCTGGGAAGAGAAGGTGATTATATTCACTGGCTGAAATGTGGTTCAAATAATCAGCAATCACTGATTATACATTAGCACTAAAACAATTTAATTATTGAAACAAAATTCAAGCCTATGTATTTTACAATTTATTTTTTCTTTTCTTTTGAAGGCTAAGTGTTCAAGGACCCTGCATATTCTTAGCATCTTTCTAGATACTTAATGAGAAGTACCACAGGACATAACAAAATGCATTTACAGATCCTCTGATATCAAGAAGATTTCAGCCCAGTTGGGAAGATGCGACATATCCCCATATGGACCCCATATGCATATATAACAGCACCATAAGGTGGCACAGTTTTGAGTTATAGAAAATAAGATAATCAGATAAGCTGCAGGATCTATTTGTTCCAGGAGAGCCAAATAGAATCATAATGACTTTTCCACTCTGAGTTTTAATGGGAGACTCATTGTGAAAATGATGAAACTGCTCTTCAAACGTACAGCATTGTGACCGTTACTGACATTGACATACTCTTTGAAGAGAAGGTCTGCCAAGCTCTCATCTGTATAATAATCTAAGCTTAAGGGTTATTAAGGAAGGGAAATTATTATTGGTTAAGGAAATAGTTTTTAAAGGTCACCTGAATCATCATAAACCAACACTGAAAAGTACTAGAATGATTTGACTATGTCAAAATTCAGAATGTACATTTATCAAAAGACATTATACAAGAGGACAGATAAACCAGAAAGTAGAAGATATTTGTAACGTAAAAATCACCAGTCTATGGCCAGAATATATAAAGAACTCTTATAAGCCATTAAGAGAAAGGCAAACAGCCCAATTAAATATGGACAAAAAACATAGCCATTTTATGAAGGAAGAAACCGAAATGACCAGTATACATATGAAAAGTGTCAAAACTGCATTTTTGATCTAAGAAGTGAAAAATAATACCACACTGATATACTATTAAGCACTTACCAGAATAGCAAAATAAGTATGACAGTAGCAAATGAAGTGAGAATGTGAGGAACTGAATCTCTTAATTCCTGCTGTTGAATGTTCAAATCGGTTCAATCACTTTGGGATTATTTATTAAAGATGAAGATATCTATATATTTTGTGAGCCAGTAATTCTACTCCTAGGCATATATCTGAGGAGAAGTGGAGTAGAAGATCTGTATACATGTATACTAGGAAACATGTACAAAATATTCATACTCATCTCCAAAATCTGGACATCCATCAAGAAAAGAATGCATAAACATACTGTAGTATACAATGGAATACTATACAGCAATAAAAACAAGTCACATGTAATAACATGGACTAATATTGTAAATCATACTGACAGATGCAGTTACACTAGAATATATACAGAATTACATTATTGCACAGGTGTACCTCTTTTTATTGTACTTTGCTTTACTGTGCTTCACAGATACTATGTTTTTCCTAAATTGACACCCTCCATTGAGTAAGTCTATTGGAATCATTTTTTTCAACAGCATTTGCTCACTGCATGTTCTGTGTTACAGTGGTAATTCTCACAATATTTTACGCTTTTTCATTACTATATTTGTCATGGTGAACTGTGATCAGTGGTCTTCGATGTTACTGTTATAACTGATGTGGCATTTTTTAGGAATGAAGTATTTTCACATTCTTGAAGGTATATACATTGTTTTTTTAGACAATGTTATTACATACTTAATACACTATAGTATAATGTGAACATCACTTTTATATTCACTGGGACATCAACTAATCCATGTGACTTGCTTTATTGTGGTAGTCTGAAACTGAACTTGCACCATCTCCAGGATATGCCTGTATAAAGTTTAAAACCATGTAAACTAAACTGACTTGTTTAAAGAGACATATATAGGTAATTAACAAAGCAAGAGAATGGGTACCATAAAAGTTATGATAAGGGAGGGAGTAGCAACTGAAAAATGAGGCACAAGAGGCCAGTAGGGTGCTATTGCCAGTATGCTGTTTCTTTACCTGAGTGGTGGTAAACAGGGATTTATTCAATTATTTATGACATTAAACTTTTGTTTTGAGATCACAAAAGCTAACTCACAAAGAAGAAGTCTGAGAGTTCTGATGAACTGAAAGTTAAAAAGTCAACAAAACCTCTTGGAAACAGAAAGTAGAACAGTGGTTGCCAGATGCTGGGGGATGGGGGAAAAGGGAAATTGCTATTCAATGGATATTGCACAACAATGTGCATATAGTTAATACCATTGTATTATACATTTAAAAATGGTTATTATGGTGACTTGTATGTAATTTTGATCACAATTTTTAAAAAATTTATGCTTACCCTTTAAATTAAATGTTAGTAATATGAAGAAATTTTACAAGTAAGCAAAATAAAATATAGTAAATACAGACAAAAGACAAATAATAACCTAGGAAAATATTTTCAACATATATTTCAGATGAATTATCAATATATCTCAAATACTGATGAAAACTATACAAAGAATATAATCAGTGCATTCACCAAAACTGAGTTAATATACGAAAACATACCATCTTCACTAGCACTCAACAAATGCCAAAAAAAGCCAACCCTACTGTGACCATTTTTGGCCTAATATCTGGAAATTTTAAAATAATATACAGCACCCTGTGTTGAAGAGAATGTTGGGAAAATGGTTATTCCCAAGAACAGTTACCTCCTCCAGACAGAGCATAAACTAATACATGCCATTGCTGACCCATGAGTCAATATTACTGATTATATGTTGGTGAAATTATTCTAAGGAGATGGTCAAAGAAGTACATAAAGAATAATGTGTAGAAATGTTTATCAATAAATTTTTTTCCATTGGTCCCAGATTGTGATCTTTAATTACTATCCACCACTGAAAAGAATCAGGATTCATAGGAGAAATGGTTGCTTTCAGGTCTGGGGCAAGATTGCACAAGTGAGTCTGGACTACCCAGAGAGCAAGGAAGCCTTCATTAAAGCAGCTGGCCTGCTGTCAATTCACTCTCCTCACTGGAGGGGTGTCCTTGGGGAACAGGGAAGAAAGCAGGTGACTGAGGTCTTGTCTTCTTGTCAATTAAAGCTTCAATATAGATTAACTGCTAAGAGGAAGAGATGGTATCTATGGAGTGCTCTTAGCAGGAAGTCCCCAGCTACAAGATTGCGTACAGTAAATAAACCCAGAGTTCCTCAGGCATGCTGCACTAGCGAATGTTCCACAGAAGTCTGACAACTCTCTGGAGTATAAATTGGAATGATTTACAATTTAAATTTTATGATTCAAATGTGCCCTCTGTACGAGGAACTCTATGAACTTCCCTTAGAGACTCTGCCTCCAGATCTGAATTATTAGTGATACGGGAAAGAAGGATGTGGAGGACAAAACGAGGTCTCAGATATCTCTCTGCTTCATCCCAGCCTCTTGACTGCCTAAAAGTTGTTAGTCAAGTTTGATGCTGATTCCTGTGCTTGATTTGACAACTGGCCTGTGTATTAGCTCAGTGACAAAGACAACTTGGATACTGTCAAAAGGACTGAGGAGCCAACCTGGAAATGCTTTCAATGGGCAAAATGGAACAATGTGAAAAGTAATGAGTAATAATGTGAAAAGTAATGAGTAATAATTGCAATTGTAATAATTGCAATTGAAACAAAACAAATATGTTTAAATCCATGATGCTAAACAAAACTAACAAAATAAAACCCTCTCTGGTCACATTTATAGGGTGTTGTGGGTGCTAAGTCACTTCAGTCATATCCGACTCTCTATGACCCTATGGACTGAAGCCCACCAGGCTCCTCTGTCCATGGGATCCTCCAGGCAAGAATACTAGAGCGGGCTGCCATGCCCTCCTCCAGGGGATCTTCCTGATCCAGGGATTGAATCCACGTTTCTTATGCCCTCTGAATTGACAGGCAGGTTCTTAACCACTGGTACCACCTGGGAAGCCCTTATAGGGTGTTAAGAAACCAAATTATTATTTTTAAAATTGGTAAATCAAAGGAAAGAAAAAAGTGTTAGACTTCCTTTCCTATACCTTAGGGTAATCAGATTGTCGATGAAGGGATGTTTCTCTATAGAAGTATTCTAATCAATAAATGAAGAAAGAATGATGAAATATCACCCTTTTGTAACCTCTAATAGATTCCTAGACAGGGGCAATGATCAGCGCTGCTTGCCAACCACAGCATATAACACATCCTGAGAAGTAGTCTTGCAAAAAATAAAAGACAAAAAACATTTTATCAAACTTTTAGATATAGCTGTCAATTTACCAAAAAATGTACCAAATTTACCAAAAGAAACACACTAAATGATCTCACTGATTCATAGCCTGCAAAATACAGGCTCAAGGAAACACTTTAGGATAAACAACCTGATTTCTTCAACAAAAAGCTGCAAGGAAAAAATAATTTGGGGGAAACTATAGATCAAATGAGATCTAGGAGGTATTTCTACCAATGTGAATGTGTGGCCCTTATCTGGATCCAGGTTCAAACAACAGATGACAAAAGCAAACAAAAACCTATAAAATGAAGAATTAGATAATTGTGAATAAATTGGATTTTTGTGATCAAGGAATTACTGTTAAAATTTTTAGATGGAAAACGTAAACACAATAATGGTATTGCGTGTACGTTTCTGATAAATATACAGACTGAAATATTCTTACATAGTGTCTAGGACTGACTTCCAAATAATCCAGTGTAGAAGGGAACGGAGGGAGGTGTAGATGACACAAAATCGGCCTTTTTGATAACTGTTGAAGTAAAATAATGGGTAACTAGGTTTATTATATCTTTTCTCTATTTTTATATGACATAACTTTAGTTTTAAAAAGGAGACTGGCTGCTGTGTACAGAGGTGTCTGCAAAAGAGGGAGGGAAGAAAGACAGAAGCAGATGACCTCTTAGGAGACTGCTTCAAAACCAGGCACTAGATGTATGGCAAAAACCACCACGATACCCTAAAGTAATTAGCCTCCAATTAAAATAAATTATATGTTAAAAAGAAATCAGGCACTAGATGGCGCCATCAGAAGCGAGCTGAGCAGGGCTCAGATGCTGGGTAATTTTGAAAGTACCTAGAGCCACACAACTTTCTGATGGATCTGATGCGAAGTATGATAACATTCTCAGCGGGTAAAGACTCCCCCTGCAGTGCAGGAGACACAGGAGATGGGTTTAATCCCTGGTGGGGAAGACCCCTTGGTGCAGGAAAATGACAACCCATTCCCATATTCTTGAAAAATCCCAAGGACAGAGGAGCCTGGAGGGCCACAGTCCGTGAGGTCACAGTCAGATACAACTGAGCGACTAAGCACACACGTGATAATATTGGGGCTTCCCAGGTGGCACCAGTGGTAAAGAACACTCCTGTCAGTGCGGGAGTCACAGGAGATGCAAGTTTGACCCCTGGGTCGGGAAGACCCCCTGGAGGAGAGCATGGCAACCTATTCCAGTATTCTTGCCTGGAGAATCCCATGGACAGAAGAGCCTGCAGGTTATAGTATACAGGATCACAAAGAGTCAGATACGACTGAAGCGACTTAGCATAGCACACAGCACATGAGAATACTGTCATTATCTTTAAGGCTTAAAAATATCATTATCTGTACATTCTATTTTACAGCTTTTTCACCATGTTTAAAATGTTTTAAATAAGCTTATTTTTAATCAAAAATATTTTGTTTTAAAAACAATTACTGAGGAAACAGTAGTTCAAAGAGGCTTATCATCTTTGAAAGAATGGGATAATATGTTCAATAATGTTCTGGGGTCATGATTTAGAGAATAAAGGCCCATTATCTCATCTGAAATCTTTGCTGCCAGATGTTTCAGAACTCAGAATTTTTCTGAGTTCTTCAGAAAGGTAACATAGGGCACCTATAGTATATTACACCATCCTCAGGCAGGGTCTGAAGAAGTTTCCTTTAATCAAATGTGTTAATATTTCTGTAGTAAAGTATATGAGTAGTCATACTAAGTGAGATAAAGATCATAAATGGTCTTAGATTGGGTTAGGTGTATTCACAACTGAATTTTGGAGCCAAACTTATAAAAACATCTTTTGGTACTCAGAATCTTTTAGAGTTTGGTAAGGTCCAAAAGGAATTTCAATTTAGTGTGGCACATACGTCTTGAGTGCCCCAATCATCAGGACCTTCTACACTGGCAATTAAAGCAGGAAACCAACAACACTAATAGAAGATGGGGATATGCCAGGCAGCGGGGATAAGAGAAAGACACGAGGTTGTCACAAGTGGGTAGGGCCCAGTTGGATTTGTTCTGTTTGACAGTGTAAGACTGCATATCCTAATAAAGTAGGCAGCTGCTATTTGAAAGGCTGTGTTTAGTAACTCTCCCTTAATCACTATCAGCATGCTGCTTTTTATTAGCAGGCTGTGTGTGTGTGTATAATACTTCTAAGGTTAGGAACACTGGTGAGACTTCACAGAATTTGCTGCTCTGGGTAGCAAGTAGCTGACAAGGCTCTCGGAAGCATCAGCGCAGCAAGGATGACTAAGAACATTGCTGTGGTTTGGGCCATGCCGTTCAGTAGGCAACGACACTTTAAGACTTCCTGAGCGCTGGGCTCAGCAGCCTCTTCCACAGGAGGCCACGGGGTCCTCCATGGAAGCAGCCAGCTCTGGACCCTTGATTCAGACTCGACAAGCACACACACACACTGGTGTAATCTGCTGGATGCACTGCAGTTTGTGAAGAGAGCTGTATGAATTTTTTAGCCTTGCACAATGAAAATGCCGTTAAATCCCTAGTGTGATTGAACAGAATAAGCTGAGGGTGGTTTTGATGCTTAGAGAGACTGCAGGTAGGACAAGCCATTCTTGGAAGACAATTTAGGTGGGCTCTGCTCTTACGGATTCATTGACAGAGGGGCTTCTTACCTAAAAAAGGAAGGGGCTACATTACATTTTCACGATTGGCACATTTTTCCATCAGGACTGTGGCGGAGGGCTGGCCCCTGACATAATGGATATGCCAAGGGTGGGAGGGGGGGTTCTTGGGGGTATAGGTCTGTGGCTGACAGCAAGGGGCTGGGGCCTTGATAACTGCTGGGGAGGGGTTCTCACCCCATGGCTGCCCTCCACAAACGCTGTCTCCCTTCCCACAGCACGGGGCATGTTTTACAACCAAAGGCTCCTCAGATCTGCAAGGAGACCCAACCAGTCTCTCCTAAAGGAAATCAGTCCTGAATATTCATTGGAAGGACTGATGTCGAAGCTGAAACTCCAATACTTTGGCCACCTGATGCGAAGAACTGACTCATTAGAAAAGACCCTGATGCTGGGAAAGATTGAGGGCAGGAGGAGAAGGGGAAGACAGGATGAGATGGTTGGATGGCATCACTGACTCAACGGACATAAGTTTGAGTAAACTCTGGGAGTTGGTGATGGACAGGGAGGCCTGGCGTGCTGCAGCCCATGGGCTCGCAAAGCGTCAGACACGACTGAGTGACTGAACTGAACTGGACTGCTCTTTGGTTGCTGTGATTCCCACATTCTCAGTGATACCCGCTGATTGCTCCACTGGAGCTCAGGGAGAACAGCGCAGCGGCATCCTTCTGTGAACTGTCACCGCACGGACCTACTGTGTGTCAGATACTGTGCTGGGCTTGACACTGGCCTCTCACTGCTTATAAGGCTAGAAGAAATAAACATACCTGGCTTTGGAGTCAGAAAAATCTGGGTTTGAGTTTATCCTTTTTCAGTATCTTGCTACGGGATCTGTGGCAAAGGCTTTTAACCTCTTGTCAAAACTTATGAAAAGACAGGTAAGAATATGTACCTTGGACATGGAGAAATGAGAACCACAGCACACTGTTGGTGGGAATGTAAATTGGTTCACCTTAGAAAATAGGATGGAAATTCCTCAAAAACTAAAAAACAGAATTACCATATAATCCATCAATCCTATTCCTGGCTATACAGCGAAAAAAAAAAAAATACTAATTCAAAAAGATACACGCACCTCAGTGTTCATAGCAGCATTGTGTACAACAGCCAAGATATGCAAACAACCCAAGTGTCCACCCACAGATGAATGGATAGAGAAGATAGAGGCGATGTATATAATTGCATATATATACACACACATACACACAATGGAATATTACTCAGCCATAGAAAAGAATTAAATTTGCAACAATGTAGATGAACCTAGAGGGTATTATACTTAGTGAAATAAGTCAAAGAAAGAGAAACACTCTTATCACTTACATGTGAAATCTAAAAATAAAGAAATGCAAATAACAAAACAAAAATGCATACATACCTTGTAGCTTCGACATGGTGATTAAATAAGATAATGTAGATAACTTTCTTCCACTGAAGATAAACAGTGAAGGTCTCATAGCTAGAGTAGTTAGGGGAGCTGGAATTTCAGTTTCTCTAACTCAGGGGCCTGAGGTGTTGACATACTGCAGTCAGAGCTATTTTGGAGGGATCACTCAGACTGGCTGGGCTAGGCCAATGGGTCCCCTTCCAGCTTTCATCATAGCAGTCAACATCACAAACATTCACTAGCTTACTATGAGTGTTTCCAGGGACTTGGAGTCCAAAGCAGGAGCAGTGAAGACATGGCCTGACTCCAGGTGAACAACTGTGCTGAGCAAGTATTCAATACTTGAGAATAAACTCTGATCCTTACCACTTCACGCTTCTCCACTTCAAACCAGCGGGAAATTCCAGGTAAACTCTGCACCAAGTATAGTGATGTTCTTTCCACCCAGAGACTCTATGAAATACAAAACAAATTAAGTTACCTTCTTTCCAGTTACTGAGCAATGACTAATGTTTGCCGTTCAATTTTACCAAGTTCTCAGTCTTTGTCAGCTTTTCTTTAGTATTCATTCCAATGCTTCAGCAATCTCCTTGCACTCAGGAAGCTATCTTAGTAAGACATGCTGAAGCTTACGTTAATTTCATTGTATATAATCTGAAACTTTTTTTTTGTGCAGAATACATGATCTACTTCAGACAGTAACCTTAAAAATGTAAAAACAGGTCATCACATTCTTTCCTTTTTCTCTAAATTTCCAATTTTAAGTTTCTCAACTCCTCAAGGGGGTCTAGCCATTTTTACTTGGAATGGGATATAGTATCAGCTAATCATCGTGAGATTAGAATAACAGAATCCTCAAGGAGGAATGGGCTTTAGGAATCTCATAGCCTAATCTTTCTGTATTAAAGATGACAGACACCAGCCCTCCAAAAGCCACGTGTGCTGTGCTTAGTCATGTCTGACTCTCTGTGACCCCATGGGCTGTAGCCCATCAGGCACCTCTGTCCACGGGGATTCTCCAGGCAAGAATACTGGAGTGGGTAGCCTATTCCTTCTCCAAGGGATCTTCCCGACACAGGAATTGAACCAGGGTCTCCTGCATTACAGGCAGATTCTTAACCAGCTGAGCTGCCAGGGAAGCCCAAGAGGCATGTGACCTGCTCAAAGCAACATCCTCATCATCTGTACTGCCAGCCCCAGGACCCCTGCACAAGAACGCCTGACTGCCCCATGGCTCCAGTTACTGGGCCATCTGCACTGCTATGATCCAGGAAGACCCGCACTTAGAGCTGGGCCTCCCTCTGGCCAGGATGAGCACCCCCATGACACATGCAATCACAGGTGCCTTTGGTAAGAGCTGCTGTTGACAATGGGTCTCTCTCTTTTCCACAGGCTTCTGCATTTCCGCCTCATGTTTCCTGGTTAAACAAAGCACATTCCCACGTGTAGTAAACCTGACAAAGTTCCTGAAACACTGCCATTTACTCAACAACAACAACAAATCGAAGGATTTCTTTGTGCCAGCCAAGATCTAATGAGATGAATATGGCAGCAGCCCTGCGACAGGAGGCCAGAGCACTCTGCTGGTGATGACGGGGCAAAGCAGATCAAGAAGGGCTCAGGGGGCTTCCCTGGCGTCTCAGTGGAAAAGGATCCGCCTGCCAATGCAGGAGACATAGGTTTGATCCCTGATCCGGGAAGATGCCACATGCTGAAGAGCAACTGATCACATGGCCAACAACTATTGAGCCTGTGCCCCAGAGCTGGGGAACCACAACTACTGAGCCCACGTGCCCCAGAGTGTGCTCTGAACAAGAGCAGCCACCGCAGTGAGAAGCCCTAGCCCCCGTGTGCTGCAACTAGAGAAAAGCACGAGTGGCAACGAAGACCCAGCACAGATTTAAAAAAATAGGAGGGCTCAGGGAGAAGAGAGAGGAACAGCCCAGGTGCTGCGAAACCAGGAGGGAGCAGCACACGAGGCATCCTGTGGGAGGAGGACCGTGCTTCACTGAGGAGGTGACACGTGAGCGGAATTTTGAAGAGTGAGTAGGAGTTTGCCAGGCGGAGAGCGGGGGAAGCGGCGCAGGCAGCAGGAAGCAGAGACGCAAGCGGCTTGTGAAAGGGCATGGCAGGAGATGGAGGGAGAGCTCCGCGCTGCCAGAGCTGAGAGAGTGGGTGAGTGGGCTGCAGCAGAGATGAGGCTTCTGGAAGGGCAGTTTGGAGCCAGATGCTGAGGGCTGTGAGCACAGGAAAAAGCAGCCAGATTTATTATTTTTTTTAAGGAGGGTTGCTACACCATTGATAAATATTTAAAGTGATAGCCAAAAGGAAATGTGGCGCAGCAGAAAAAGCAATGGAGAAGGCATCAGAAGATGGACATTCCAGTGCAGGGTCTGGGGTGGTGAGAATGCCATTCTGAGCAAGTCACCTGCCTGATTCTGGGGGACCTTGGACTTTTTACCTACTGGAAACTTGCAGTGAAAACTATATTATACACTAAAGATCTTTAATCAGTTTGGGAAGGCAGAAAGAAAAATTATCCAGAGGGATTAGAAAAGGTCATGGATCTTTTCAGTAACATCGTGGTGTTATTTTCCAGTGGTTTCCTGGCTTTGATGTTTAACCCATCAACGTCCTTGCCCAAAGGACCGTGCTTTGCTCAGTCTCATCATAACACTGCAAAACTATCCAGCTTTCCCTCTGATCACTTGCTTGTGAGCAATTCTGGAGTTACTGTGAGGAGTACCGAAACTTGGGCAGGAGTGACAGGTGAGTTCACATCAGACAATCATAGCTGATAATGTTAGAAGAACATTTTCCAGCTTCTCTGATGGCTCACTTGGTAAAGAATCCACCTGCAATGCAGGAGACCCTGGTTCGATTTCAGAGTCAGGAAGATCCTCTGGAGAAGGGATAGGCTACCCACTCCAGTATTGTTGGGTTTTCCTGGTGGCTCAGCTGGTAAAGAATCCGCCTGCAATGCGGGAGACCTGGGTTCAATCCCTGGGTTGGGAAGATCCCCTGGAAAAGGGAAAGACTACCCACTCTAGTATTCTGGCCTGGAGAATTCCATAGTCCATGGGGTCGCAAAGAGTCAGACATGCTGAGCGACTTTCACTTCGCTGCGATGAAAGAAGCTAAGCCAAGTCACCCAGGATCCTAGGTTCATTTTACATTTTTTTGCTTGGGGGCAGATACTGGGGATCTGTATGGCCTCACTTTGTCACTGTTATCAAGGAAAGGGCAGATTATAATTTATATGTGGAACAATTTCATCCCTTTCCCCCAGTAGGGCTTGCCTACTGAGAAACCTTGCCCTTTCTGGCTGAGAGAGAACTAGCAAAGCTTATCAGAACTGAGGATGGAAAACTCAACCCATGCAAAGAATCTATGGTTGGTCCTCTCAGAAGTCTGAGTTACACATCATTCTATTAAGAAAAAGCAGCAAAAGACAGCACAGTCTCTCTCACTGGGCCAGGAGCCCCCCAGTGGTTCTATCTCAGAATCAGCTGTTCCTTCAGTATCCTTTACTCATGGCAGTCTCCTGTATCTGAGATTATAAATACCTGAGGTTCCCACAGTTAGTTCAACATGAACGAATGGAGGACTGAGCTGAACCCTGAGATCTCAAAAACTGGACAGAGGACCACTGCCATTAGAATCATCATAAACCTTGGGGCCTCCTCTGTGACCCAATGAGTCAGAATCTCCAGGCCAAGAAATCTGCTTGGTTAGAAAACACCCCCTGTCACCCTGATACATGGTAGAGTTTAAGAATAATTAGACCACCTTCTAGTTTTATCACCTGACTGTATCTTGAGTAAATATTTAACAAGCATCTTGATAAAAAAAAGCTCTCAGTCTATTTGAGGAAACCATGTGCCACAAGAATTGCTCAGTACCTTGAATTCATTCTCTTTATCTTTCGTGCCTTTGTGAAATGGTCTGTCGTAGCGGAATTTCCAGATGTGATTCACTTTATAGAAACTTTTGATGTTGTCTGGGACACCTTCTCTCTGAAGGACCTCCTGGCTTTCTGGGATGGGAGTCACGGCGTATATCTGCAAATCTAGAATCAAAAGTCAAGGAGGGAACCTGATTTGGCAGACTCTCTGGGGCGTCTGGCTCAACCTGAGCTGTGGCAGAAAGAAAGGGATGGCGAACAGTTGAGTGTTTCTGTTGGGGTAAAGCCAAAACTGCCAAGAAGGTACCAAGAACTCAGTTCATAGCAAATCACTTCTCAAACTATAAGCCTTAAAATAGCTTCACATAGGTCATTCTGACAAAGTATCAGTTTGAAATTGCTATGTCCTGTGAATTCATTTATCACAGATTTTTGGGGGGGTTGGGGGTGGGTTTGAATGGCTTGGATCCTAGGTACTAAGGATTGAATTCATTTTAACCCTTGTTTATGAGGCTCTGATCTTTAGTGCATGTATGGTCCTTTTAAAATGTGTTTGTTTGTAAAATAATGTATAAATACCTATGCAACCAAAGACAGCAACCAGTACTTATAGTAACTCATATATTCCCTGTCTCTAGCCTTTGCACATTTGAGGTATCCACTCTCCCAAACCTTGTATTGATAAGCTGAGTGTTTAGCTATAGTTGGTATTTTTGAAAACTATATTAAAGGGGTATTATATTTACTTATACATTTACCATCTTTTCTTCTCATTCAAAGAAAGATGGCAAAATCTTTTCCCTTAAGTAATTGCTTGCTTCTGGTACATTTAAGTTTCTACTTTGGAATGATATCCGTAATTTTCAGGGGGGAATTTCTGATCTTCTTTAAGACTGCCAATTTCAGGAAGAGAGACAACAATTCATAAAGGAGTGCTGGGGCGAATTCCCTTTGTCTCTAATGCCTCTGTAATTTCAGTTGAGTTGTTTATGTTTGCACAAATGGGAGTGTCAACTACACGACAATTGTTAAATGCTGTCTGGAATGCCATGGCTGAGTCCCTGAAAGATATGAGGCTACCTCCTCCTCTTCCCTTTCATTCAGAATAAAAATATTAAGGGAAAAGTGGGTAAGTGATATATGCCAGTAAACATAATGCTATCATTTCCTTGAACTGAAGTAGTTTCTACAGAGTGTATGTGAGTGTGTGTGTGCGCACACATGCACGCATGCATCCATGCACACTCAGTTGCGTCTGGCTCTTTGAGACTCCATGGACTATAACCCAACAGGCTCCTCTGTCCATGAAATTCCTTGGGCAAGAATATTTGAGTGGGTTGCCATTTCCTTCTCCAGGGGATCTTCCCAATGCAGGGATCAAACCAAGTCTCATGCAGTGGCGGGTGGGTTCTTTACCAATGAGCCACCTGGGAAGCCCATTTCTACAGGGGATGCCAGAGCAAAATTATTCTAGGGGAAATCCCTAAAAAGGAGCTTTAAAAGCAGGGTTGAGATATAGAAAAGCTGCAACTAAAAGGAAAAAAGAATTCTCTTAACAGAATCCTTAAGGGATTTCTTTTCAACTGACATATGAGAATACCTAGCATAATTCTGTTTGGAAGGAGCTAAGCTAAAATTAAGATGATGAGAAAGAAGGAGAGTGAAGCAGGGCTATTGACAAGGGGCCAGTGCCTGAAGCACCTGCACAGAAACACTGCAGCCAAAGGCCAGTGGGACCTAGTCAGAATCCGGCCTTTCTAGGTGTGGATACACTGAGCTTCTGCCTGGAAGATGGTCTCATCGGGTTGGTTGGCATGCTGCATGGCGATGGCGTGGGGGAACTCGTTCAGCATTCTCTGCTGGAAGGCCTCCAGTCTTTCGTAGTCATGCCCTCGACATACAAACTCTTTATTCTGGAGGTAAAATCAGAAAAAGAAACATTAGGACTATAATTGAGTGCAATCACTACAGAGAGAAGCCAAAATATGCAACACTGGCAGTAACTAAGTATATGCCCAACATCAATAGAATATAACCAAAAAAAAGCACACTGGAACAGTCTAGAGAATTTGTCCGAATATTAAAAATACAGGGCAAAGGTCATAAGCATCACCAGGTTCACCTGCTTGAGGTGCAAAGGGGTGTCTGGTTCTCAGAGCACCAAAGTACAAAACAAAGCAATCGTGTTCCCTCCAAATGTTAGTGAACACATGTTACAGACTATTTTAAAAACTGTATAACAAAGTTAAGCAGGCAAATTCTCAACTTTGAAAAAAGTAACTGCAATCCCTAAAAATACATTTTATGCATCCTTTCTATAAAGGTCACGGAGATTGGCCTTAACCCTTTCACTCTGAGATCCTTCCATGGAGAGGAAGGCCAAGCCGCCTGCATGCCAGCTCTCAGCAGGGCTGCTCCTGCAAGCATCCTGGCCATCCCTGACTCCACTCAGCGTCCTGTAGCCAGAACCTCTGCTAACTGACCGAAGCCAAGATTGGGGACGTTTAAGGTCTTGCTAAATGTTGGACAAATCTTTGTCTGTTTCCGTTTTGTTTTTACAATACATATAAATATTCTGTTAGGACTCTCTCATTCAGGTAAGAAATGTGAAGTTTATCCGTGATGGAGGCCACAGAGCTGGCAGGATGGGGACCTTCTCAACAAGTACCTTCATGATCTGGTTATCGATATGGAACAACACTTCCTGACAGTTTAAAGTGAAAGTATTAGTCGCTCAGTCATGTCCTACTCTTTGCGACCCCATGGACCATAGCCCGCCAGCCTCCTGTATCCATGGAATTCTTCAGGTGAGACTACAGAAATGGGTAGCCATTCCCTTACCAGGGGGGTATTCCCGGCCCAGGGATCAAACCCAAATCCAGTGCAGGCGGATTCTTGACGGTCGTGACCCACCAGGGAAGTTTAATGACAGTCTAATGATAATGAAATTATAATTGTTAAGCACAGCCAGCACATATCATATTTAACCCAAAGAAACTTGAGAGGGTGTCCCCCACCCCCATTTTGTAGCTTGGAGCTGAGGATCAAGATCATTACATACTTTGTCCACATGTATGAGATTTAAGCTCAGGTCTGAGTCCAAGGCCTTAGCTCCCTCTGTTCCGAACATGGCCTGGTACATGGAAAAACTCCTAAGAGCTACGGAGACCAAGAAAGACTGTGGGATAAGATGCCCTGAAGATCTTTAAGGAGTAAAGTGCTTCATGGTCTGGGGAGTTAAGGCCCAAAGATCTCAGTAGTTCTCAGCTCTGGGAGGTTTCTGTGATTGCACCAAATGCACAGAGGAAGTCCTCTGGGCCAGAGTGAGGAAGTCAGAAACCACTCTGGGAAAGGGGCTCAGGGTTGCAGCTGAGAAAAAGCAGCTGCAGGCAGAGGAACCAACAGAAGTGAGCTCTGAGAACCTGCTACAATGCCCGACAAGCCACTCAATAAACCAATAAACCCTTGAGAAACACAAGCTAAGACAGACTCCTTAGGAATCAGGATTGCCCTCCCCACAAATAATCCTATATTTAAATTTCTTGATTGAAGTCATACCTTCTGATGATGTGTTATTTTATTTTGCTCAAAAGATATTCAACAAGGACCTACTGTATAGCAAAGGGAACTCTACTCACGACTCTGTAATAACCTATAAGGGAAGAAAATCTAAAAAATAATAGATACATGTATCAGTTCAGTTCAATCGCTCAGTCGTGTCTGACTCTTTGCGACCCCATGGACTGCAGCACGCCAGGCTTCCCTGTCCATCACCAACTCCCAGAGTTTACTCAAACTCATGTCCGTTGAGTCAGTGATGCCATCCAACCATCTCATCCTGTCTTCCCCTTCTCCTGTCTTCCCCTTCTCCTCCTGCCCTCAATCTTTCCCAGCATCAGAGTCTTTTCAAAAGAGTCAGCTCTTTACATAAGGTGGCCAAAGTATTGGAGTTTCAGCTTCAACATCAGTCCTTACAATGAACACCCAGGACTGATCTTCAGGATGGACTGGTTGGATCTCCTTGCAGTCCAAGAGACTCTCAAGAGTCTTCTCCAACACCACAGTTCAAAAGCATCAATTCTTTGGTGCTCAGCTTTCCTTATAGTCCAACTCGGAGAAAGATTGGCCAAAGAGGCCTTCTGATTGCCAGCTACATCCATACATGACTATTGGAAAAACCATAGCTTTGACTAGACAGGCCTTTGTTGGCAAAGTAACATCTCTGCTTTTTAATATGCTGTCTAGGTTAGCCATAGCTTTTCTTCCAAGGAGCAAGCATCTTTTAATTTCATGGCTGCAGTCACCATCTGCAGTGATTTTGGAGCCCAAGAAAATAAAGTCTGTCACTGTTTCCATTGTTTCCCCAACTATTTGCCATGAAGTGATGGGACCAGATGCCATGATCTTCGTTTTCTGAATGTTAAGCTTTAAGCCAACTTTTCCACACTCCTCTTTCACTTTCATCAAGAGGCTCTTCACTTTCTGCCATAAGGGCGGTGTCATCTGCATATCTGAGGTTATTGATATTTCTCCCAGCAATCTTGATTCCAGCTTGTGCTTCCTCCAGCCCAGCGTTTCTCATGATGTACTCTGCATAGAAGTTAAATAAGCAGGGTAACAATATACAGCCTTGACGTATTCCTTTTCCTATTTGGAACCAGTCTGTTGTTCCATATCCAGTTCTAACTGTTGCTCTCTGACCTGCATACAGGTTTCTCAAGAGGCAGGTCAGGTGGTCTGGTATTCCCATCTCTTTCAGAATTTTTCAGTTTATTGTGATCCCCACAGTCAAAGGCTTCGGCATAGTCAATAAAGCAGAAGTAGATGTTTTTCTGGAACTCTCGTACTTTTTTGGATGACCCAGCAGATGTTGGCAATTTGATCTCTGGTTCCTCTGCTTTTTCTAAAACCAACTTGAACATCTGGAAGTTCTCGGTTCATGTATTGCTGAAGCCTGGCTTGAAGAATTTTGAGCATTACTTTACTAGCGTGTGAGATGATTGCAACTGTGCAGTAGTTTGAGCATTCTTTGGCATTGTCTTTCTTAGGGATTGGAATGAAAACTGACCTTTTCCAGTCCTGTGGCCGCTGCTGAGTTTTCCAAATTTGCTGGCATATTGAGTGCAGCACCTTCACAGCATCATCTTTTATTTTATTGATTTATTTTATTGTAGTGGTTTTTGCCATACATTCACATGAACCAGCCATGGGTACACATGTATTCCCCACCATGAACCTCCCTCCTACCTCCCTTTTGAAATAGCTCAGCTGGAATTCTCTCACCTCTACTAGTTTTGTTCATAGTGATGCTTCTTAAGGCCCACTTGACTTTGCATTCCAGAATGTCTGGCTATAGGTGAGTGATCACACCATTGTGATTATCTGGGTTGTGTAGATCTTTTTTGCATAGTTCTTCTGTGTATTCTAGCCACCTCTTCTTAATATCTTGTGGTTCTGTTAGGCCCATACCATTTCTTTCCTTTATTGTGCCCATCTTTGCATGAAATGTTCCCTTGGTATCTCTAATTTTCTTGAAGAGATCTCTAGTCTTTCCCATTCCATTGTTTTCCTCTATTTCTTTGCGTTGATCACTGAGGAAGGCTTTCTTATCTCTCTTGCTATTCTTTGGAACTCTGCATTCAAATGGGTTTATCTTTCCTTTTCTCCTTTGCCTTTCACTTCTCTTCTTTTCTCAGCTATTTGTAAGGCCTCCTCAGACAACATCTTGCTTTTTTGCATTTCTTTTCTTGGGGCTGGTCTTGATCACTGCCTCCTATACAATGTCAGGAACCTCTGTCCACAGTTCTTCAGGCACTCTTGTCTATCAGATCTAATCCCTTAAATCTATTTCTCACTTCCATTGTATAACCTAAGGGATTTGATTTAGGTCATACCTGAATGGTCTAGTGGTTTTCCCTACTTTCTTCAATATAAGTCTGAATTTGGCAATAAGGAGTCATGATCTGAGCCACAGATACATGTATAAATGTAACTGAATTGCTTTGCTGTATGCCTGAAACTAACACAACATTGTAAATCAACTATACTCAGTATAAAATGAAAAAATTTAAATATAATAAATTTGCTTGATAAAATAAGATAATACATATCTTCTTGCATATTACTGAAGTCCCCAAATAAGTACCTGAAAACTGAAACAGTTCTAAAGCAATGCTCATCCGTCACAACAGTTTGTAAAATCAGGGGAATGCCTCTAAGTGTAAGGTCATTCAAAGGTAGTAAGAAATCATTTTGGAATAAACATAAATTTGGGGCCTGATATTTGAGTTATGGAGAAATAAAAAGGAGTTAAGCTTTCTTTCCATCAATTATTTTTTAAAACCACAGTTTTGAGATAGAGTTCACAAGCTATAAAATTTACCCTTTTATAGTATGTGATTCAGTTGTTTTTGGTATATTCACAGAGTTGTGCAACTATCAGCATTATGTAATTTCAGATTATTTTCATTACTGCAAAAAGAAATTTGTACCCATTAGCAGTCACTCCCCAACTCCCCCTCCCCTTGGCACCTGGCAGCCACTAATCTACTTTCGGTTTCCATGGATTTACCTAGTCTGTACATTTCATATAAATGGAATTACATAACATGTGACCTTTTGTAACTGGCTTCTTTTACTTAACATAATATTATCAAGGTTCACCCATTTTGTGGCGTTATCAGTACTTCATTCTTTTCTTATTGCTGAATATTCCATTGTATAGCTATACCATATTTTATGTATCCATTCATCAGTGGATGGACATTTGGACTGTTTCTACTTTTAGGCAATTGTGAATAATGCTGCTGTGAATACTCACGTACATGTCTTTGTGTGGCTCTGGATGCTGGGAAAGATTGAGGGCAAGAGGAGAAAGGGGCAACAGACAGTGAGATGGTTGGATGACATCACTGACTCCACAGACGTGAGTTTGAACAAACTTCAGGAGTCGGTGAAGGACAGGGAAGCATAGCATGCTGCAGCCCATGGGGTCACAAACAGTTGGGCAGGACTTAGTGACTGAACAACAACAATTTGTTAATAATTAATTTTTAAAATTGTCTTTCTTTAAAAAGGAAATATATACCTATGGGATAAAAAATTCCCAAATAGTATAAGCATACAATAAAAAGTAAGTATCTTTCCCATCCTTGATCTGAGTCATCCTCCTCAGACAAATCACTATTCAAAGATTTTATGCATTTAAACACTGTCAATAAAGAACTCATTTTCCACGAGGGTTAAAAAAAAGCTACCTCAATCACACAAACATATTTGAGCTTTAAAAATTATCAGGAAATGGATCACACAATGAAAGGAAATTTTTAAAGTTAATATTTGTTTTTAAATCAAAGAACAGACTAGATAGAACCTGATTTCTTAAAAAGTCTAGTCCCGTGATTCCAAAGGGTGCAGTGCCATTTAGAAACCAATAGAGGGTGACACTTCTCTTTCATTTAGAAGGAAATGCCATTTATTTCTAGAAAAGCTGTTTTCAAAAGAAAGATGATATATTGATCTATTCCAATTGATATATTAACAGAATTCACTTTATTAGCTGATATGTCTTCTAATTTGCCAGATTTCCTTTAAAATTATGGCTCCTAAACTACTTCTGACCTTTAAAAATCTTCACTTTTAATTAACACTAATCACACATACACAATAGAGATCTATGGTACTTTATAATATACTTGTTAGCTGATTTCAGAATTTGATCAGGGCTACAATACAACTTTTATGGGCTGCTTTCTCTATTAAAAATATTAAAAATCATACTGTATGACTCATTTGGTATAAAGACAAATATATCAATAATAACCTAATGTACAATATACACTATTAAATAACAATCTAGTGTATAGTATACACTATGGGATTCCCTGATTGCTCAATAGATAAAGAATCTGTCTGCAATGCAGGAGATGCAGGTTCAATCTCTGGATTGAGAAGGTCTCCTGGAGGAGGAAATGGCAACCTACTGCAGTATTCTTGCCTGGAAAACTCCATGGACAGAGGAGTCTGGCAGGCAGTCCACGGGGTTGAAAACAGTCGGGCATGACAGTGTGCACTCACACCCATAATATACACTATAATATATATTTTAACATTTTCTTTAACCTGAAAGTTCACTGCTTTCTTCTGATTTTTAAAAGAAAACAGTTTTATGAACCATCTACGAATATTATGGTCCCTAAGCACTGTACCTACTCTCTGTATAATGGATCAGGTAGCGCTGAGTATGATATGGAAAAAAACAGAATCATTGCATTATTTTGAGCCAAGAGAAGAAGGGGTGGTCTGCAGCATAAGAATCATGTCTTGGCCCTACTGGGGGGTCTCCAGCCCTCTGTGCTGCTCACAGCTCCAGAATGTCCCTCCTTCCCCTTAGAACTTGGACCCAGACCCTGCACTCTGCAGGAAGTGGCTGATGACAGCTCAGGACCAGCGTGTCCACTTTGAAGACATAGTCTTTCAAATTTAGTTAAGTGTTCTGAATTTGCCACTAGTTTTGACTTGGAATGAAGCTTTCCTCTGTCTTGCAGGCAGGTCCCTCTCCAGAGCCAACAATGTGACATGTCCATCATGTGGATCCTCCTTAACCCAGTAAAGGGATTTTACTTAGGTCTGTGTGGTACCCAAATACATGGTTATTTCAATCAGTTAGATGACTGATTTGCTATCTGAGCATTTGTTTTATGCGATACTAAGTGAATCTTTGCCTATGGTGTTTAGGTATTTTATACATATATATATATACACACACATACATATATATCTTCATTCTGAAAGGCAGATACATGAATGATTATTAAAGAAGCAGTGAAGTCAAATGTTTCTCCTCTCTGTCCTCCTTCAAGTACCCCCATCCTGTATCTAATCATAGGTACCAACAGCTAAAGGAAGATATTTAAGATTTAAACTTTGTACTGAATTCACTCAATGTTACAAATTATTCCAAACACTCCTCCTTAGTTGCTGGAGAAGATGCATTCTCCTCCTTTCCAATGCTTTTAGGTGAGTATAAATGAGATGTTACAAACTGAAGTGTTACGTAAGTTATTTCAGCACATAAGAGACTACTTGGCCAAATGAGAATGGTGGTAAGAATGGAGTCAAACACTTGCTCCTTGGAGGAATAGTTATGACCAACCTAGGCAGCATGTTAAAAAGCAGAGACATTACTTTGCCAATAAAGGTCCGTCTAGTCAAAGCTATGGTTTTTTTCAGTAGTCATGTATGGATGTGAGAGTTGGACCATAAAGAAGGCTGAGTGCCCAAGAATTGATGCTTTTGAACTGTGGTGCTGGAGAAGACTCTTGAGAGTCCCTTGGACTGCAAGGAGATCAGACCAGTCAATCCTAAAGGAAACCAGTCCTGACTATTCATTGGAATGACTGATGCTGAAGCTGAAACTCCAATACTTTGGCCACCTGATGTGAAGAACTGACTCATTTGAAAAGACCCTGATGATGGTAAAAAAAAATGAAGGCAGGAGGAGGAAGAGGGAATGATAGAGGAATAGATGGTTGGATGGCATCACTGACTTGATGGATATGAGTTTGAGCAAGCTCCAGGAGTTGGTGATGGGCAGGGAAGCTTGGCGTGCTGTGGTCCATGGAGTCACAAAGGGTCGGACATGACTGAGTGACTGAACTGAACTGAATCAGAGCAATATTGTATTGACATAAAAACAGACACATATTCAATGGGATAGAATAGAGAGCCCAGAAATAAATTCGCACATCAGTCATCAACTAAAGGAGCCAAGATACAGTGAAGAAAGAATAGTTTCTTCAATAAATGATGTTGGAGAAAATAGATAGCCACATGCAAAAAAGGTAACCAGACCCCTATCTTACACCATACACAAACATCAATGCAAAACAGATTAAATATTTGGACATGAGACCCAAACCATGAAATTCCTAGAAGAAAATATCAGAAGTAAATTCCGTGACATCAGTCTTGGCAAGAGTGTTTTGGATTTGACACCAAAAGCAGAAATAGTTGAGAAGACCACATCAAACTTAAAACCTTCTGCACAGGAAACAATTTTAAAAATGAAAAGGCAACCCATAGAATGAGAGAAAATATTTGCAAATCATAAATCTGATAATAGGTTAATATCCAAAATGCATGTAATCATGCCATTCAATGGGGGCGGGGGGGGGAGGCAATATGATAAAAAAATGGACAAAGGACCTAAATAGACATTTTCCCAAAGAAGACATACAACTGGCCAACAGGTGCATGAAAAGGTGCTCAGCATCACTAAGCAACAGGAAGTACAGATCAAAACTGCAGTGAGATATAATCTCACAACTGTCAGAAAACTTATCATCAAAAAGATAAGACGCTGCAAGTATTACAGAGGATCTGGAGATAAGGGAACCCTCATACACTGTTGGTGGGAATGTACATTGGTACAGCCATTATGGAAAACATTATGGTGTTTCTTCAAAATAAATTAAAAATGGAAAAAAAAAAAGAATGGAGTCAACTATTTTATTATCTGGTAGGTACTTTAGAAAGTCTCGAAAATTTCCCTTTGTAGAAATAGTTTCTACTAGCAATAAGTTGAATCTCTTTGCTGGGTGGCATTTACCTTTTCAAAGTCAGCTAGACAAACAATGGTCCTCTGGACCCTGGAGGCAGTTTCCACAAGATGTGAAACTGTTGTGTTTTCTGTGGTCTATGACTCCCAGGCCCTATAGCGCCCGCCATTTTTCTCTAGACTAACTCTATGGAAATTGCAGGCTGAACAGAAGTAATGCTACCAATCATACAAGGGAAACAACTGTAATTGCCAAAGATTGCTCATAAAATATAATAAGCTTTGAAATGTAGGAAGAAAATTCAACTGATTGTTTGAAATCTTGGGAAATTATTCAAAACAAGGCATTCTATGAGTATGGGGTTTGCAAACTAAAGTTAGAAGAGAATCTCGTAATGTTATTACCTGCATTAAAAGGAAAATATGTCATTCATATCTTAGTTTGCTTGATTGGGATAGCTATATTGGAGGCATGAAAGCAAATTAAGTAGTATATTACTTACTCTTAAGAAAAATGGAAACTTTTTCCCATAAAATCCAACTCTGAAGAACTCTGGTTCAAGACGCTGCTGGTCCATAATTTTGTCATACAAAGAGGCTTCCATCATCTAGCAAAGAACAGGGGGTATTTTAATCATTTTATCTCATCTTTTAGCTCTACCACTTTATAGAAGAGGATATTTCTTCTATAAAAAAAGGAGAACGTCAGTTTAGTTCCATTTGCAGAAAAGAAGGTTGACTCCTTTTCTATGCTTTAAGGCAGAGATCAACAAACTTACTCTGTAAGTGGCCAGACAATAAATATTTCAGACCTTACAAGTCACCTGGTCCCTGTCAAAACTACTCAATTCTGTGAGGTCCACAGGCTGTAGTTTCCTGACCTCTGCTTTAAAGGATCGAGTATATTACTACTTGTTCTCACCAGAGAAAATTATTTCTATGCACGTAGTCTATCAAAATATTTTCTTCACAATAAAAATTAACATGAACTCTTAGAGGCAAAATCTTTCTGGAGAATTCTTGTACTCACCTGAGCATTCAGTTCTCCTAGGTCATGGTAATTCAGGACATCTGGAAGATGTAACCTTGTACAGGTTGAATGGGGATAAACCAACAAACCAAACGGGGCCCACAGTGCAAGTGCTGTGGGAGCTGAAGGCTGGTAAGTGTCTTTGATGAGGTTGGAAGCATGAAGTACATAAAGATAATGGCTTTCCATTCATGGTATTATCATCCCCAGGGTTTCCAGAGAAAGACTAACGTTGCAATTGAAAATATCTCCCCTTTCTCCACCCCCAGTAATAACACCCAAAAGAGCACTTGGCATGAAGTGCAAAGCTTTGGGTTTATAAATATCTTAGTGACTATGGCACCCAAGGGCCCTCACAGGTAAACATTGTAACCTCACGTCTGTTCTGGGGACAGGATGCAAAGAGAAGCACAGGGACATTTTTATGTGAAACTGCAGTGCCTGCCAAAGCCAGCGTGATGGGCTGAAGTTAAAACAAGGCTTTTCCTCCTTGGTTTTCCTGTTACGAGAAATACTGATGAACTCCTGACATGAAACAGTATGCCCAAGATACAGGGCTGGCTCCTGCCAGAGGAAGAAGTTACTTGTGGTATAAGGGGTACTGGGTTGTTAAAGGTTTATGAGTATCATCTCTTATATTGCTACCTTGGAATGAAAAGGCAATATCATCATTTTTTAAAATATATATGTATATGCATATGTATATATAATCTGATGATCCTGTTTAAGAAGCCCTGCAAGAGCTTAAATGTAACACAATGATATCACATGTCTGACCTGACAAGAATAAGGATGTGGAGTACCAGAGGGACTTGCTTGAACCTTCAAGAAGAGAAGGTATTGAGTTGGCCAAAGTTCATTTGGGTTTTTCTATGATGTTTCGCAAAAGACCAAGCGAACTTTTTGGCTACCTCAATATAAAAGATTTGGTTCAGGGAGACAGAATATTAAACTCCTTGAGCTCTTGGGTACTAAGACCTTGGTTTCAGTTTTAGCAAATAAAAACATATTTTTGAAGCTAAAAAGATTTGATACCTACAAAAGTTAGCCCCCAAATCTTTCAAAATGTGTCAGCTAGCCATTTCTGCTATTTCACTGCACAGATGATGGGACTAAGAATGGAATATTACTGAGATTTGTGTGCAAGTGATAAGCTCTTCCAACAAAAAGTATTAATCCTGTTTTAAATTTTATATTTCAGATGTAGTATCTAGAACAGATCAACAGCTTACATTTTGCATATTAATCAAAAGCATCACACAGGTTAACATGCTATTTCTCTGGATAAATAGAGGAGTATGCTTCAGAGGAAAGGCATCTTTCAAAACCTTTCTACAAGACACATCAAGATGATCACAAAGTTGACTTCCTAGCACCATGTGAGGAACTTAATCTAAAAAAAGATTCCATAACCTGATTAGGATGCATGCAGGTACCTTACCCTCATCTTGCTCAGGTTTCTGTAATCATAGTAACTCTCGTACTGCTCTGCAATCTTCCGGCACAAGATGATGCCGTTCTCCCAACACTGTGGACAAGTGAATGACATATATGTTAACAATCTCATGGCATTTACTAATTTCCATCCAGAGGTCAAGAGGGGACCACTCTCAGATGATCAAGCCTTACTTCTTAACCTTTAAAACCTACCCTTAATAGAACCACTGCAATTTTAAGCATGAAAACAGAATGCAATTAACAAGTTCATTATTAAAAATATTTAGAGAGTTGAAAATGATAAGCTACAAGTCATTAACATATGGTGCAAAAACAACATTTCATTATCATCTCAAAACTATTATCCTGAAGATGTGGTGTACACACACACACAGATATACACTAGAATATTAGTCAATCATCAAAAAGAATGAAATAATGCCATTTGCAGCAACATGGGTGCACCTAAAGACTATCACGCTAAGTGAAGTAAGTAAAAGAAAGATAAATACCATATGATATCACTTATGTGGAATCTAAAATACAACACATATCAACACACCTATGAAACAAAAACATACTCACAGACATGGGAACAGACATGTGGTTGCCAAGCGGGGTTGGGGAAGGAATGGATGGATGGATTGGGAGTTTGGGATTAGCAGATGCAAACTAGTACATATAGGATGAATAAACAACAAGGTCCTAATGTGTGACACAGGGAACTATGTCCAACGTCCCATGACAAACCAAAATGGAAAAAGAATATGAAAAAGAATATATATATGTACAGATGAGTCACTTTGCTGTACAGAAGAAATTAACACAACACTGTAAATCTCTACACTTCAATAAAACGGAAAAAAAAATAAAGCAATAATTTATAGGTAAAAAATAAACAAAATGATCATGCTAAAATAACTGCAATTCCACAATGGCTAAGGAGATGAACGAGCAGCCCCTTAGGGCTCGGGTAGGGGGAACTGCCACTGACCCCTAAGGTCCAATTATCCACAGCTGGCTCAGTGGATTCCTTGTTGGCCCAAGTGTACTTGTAAACTGTAAGGGTCTAAGCCAGCTGGTTATTCTCAGCAGAAATGCAAAAATTCTTTGATCTAGCTCAGGTGTCTGCAAATTTTTTCACCAAACAGTAAATGCTTTAGGTGTTGTGGGACATACAACCTTTGTCACAACTGCCATTAAACTATGAAAACATCCGCAGATACACATGAGCTTGGCTGTGTTCCAATAAAACTTTATTGAGAACTGAAATATGAATTTCATATAATTTTCACAGGCCAAATACCATTCTTCTTTTGAGTTCTTTTGACCACCATTTAAAAACATAAAAGTGATTCTTAGTTTGTGGGCTGAACTGAAACAGGCAGTGAGCTGTTTGACCCATGGGCCATAGTCTCCAAGTCCTCATGAAGCACAGACTCCTGGGAATGGGCCAAGAGAGGTTCTGTAACAGCTTATTTTACAGGTGGAAAGTTTACTGTGGGAGGATACAGAGGCATTTCTTTGCTATTAACGTAATGAACAATATGTCAGGGTAGTTAGATAAATAATAGAAGAGGATAGGAAAGAAGCAATTCCCTTGCATCACATTTTTAGGAGTACCCAATTATGTTTTATAAAAGAATGACAGCCACTGGGTGTATTTTCATTTCCTGTTTAACCTTGGCACTTTGAAAGATATATTTAAATCTAAGACATGTATCACCAAAGCATGCAAGTGTTCAAATCAACTGGGGTCAGATTCATGTTATTTTTTCCAAGAGCATTGCAAACCCTTGAAGAGGAAGCAGGTGGCAGGGAGGTGACATGCTGAATTGCTTTATTAGCTCAGGGAGGTTTTCAACACCCCATGGCAACTCTGAGTACATGACGGGATGTCATAAAATTCTGTAAATAAATTTAGTTTCATTTATTTCACCTTAAAAAAAGTGGACTGGGACAGAATACTATGTGCCAGTTTGGGGAGGTAGGGGAGGTGTGATATTGGTTTTTCAGATAACAAAATGCCTGGATGTTGAAACTTCTAGTTGAGGATCTCTCAAGGTGGGGTCCAAGTTCATACACACTGGAATTTTTTGGAGTCCTCATTAAAATCGCAGAATCCCCTGGTCCAAGCGAGACCTACTTAATTAGAATTCGCAGGAGTAGGGCCTGGGAATCTTATTTTCAGTCAAGTCTTGGGAGTTGTTAATGCACTGAAAATATGAGGGCTCCTGCTTGAAGAGGTGGCCACCAATGAACTAGAAATAAAGGAAATGTGACAGTCACCTTGGGAAGGGACACAGGTGGCTGGGGCCACTTACCTTGCCTCTGTCAAAGTTCTGGATGATGGCGAGGTGCAGGTGCTCCTTGCGCTGCCATTCTGTTTGCATGGGGTAGGTCAGGAACTCCCGGAGGGGCCGGTCAGACCATTCCAGCAGCTCATCATATAACAACAGCGTATACGCAGCCTCTGAAAGATAAGCGGGAAGGTGATGATCGAGACAGGACCCCCATGCAGCTGGCTCAAGACAAGCTTTTATAAGCACTTTTTTCTGAATCTCATGATACTGAAGAACACATGTCCAGGACATATGCAATGGAAGGTGAATGAATGAGAAGTGCCTCGGGAGATGGAATTACTGGAGACTTGTGTTTGATCTTTTGGTTCTCTTTACCTTCTCTTTCTCTCCTTCTCGTCTATGTTTCCCCCTACTGTTCATATGTACTGGCATAATAAAAATGTTTAAGCATAGCTCTGTAGCTGATTCAAAATGTAGGGGAGACGCGCTTTCATTTGCTGCATAGGTTCCCTGGTGAATCCCGTGGCAGGGGGCTATGGGCAGCTTCCACAGGCATGCTGTGTTGTTCTTCAGTCACTCAGCCGTTTTCAACCCTTTGCGACCACATGGACTGCAGCACACCAGGCTTTCCTGTCCTTCACCATCTCCTGGTGTTTGCTCACACTCGTGTTCATTGAATCGGTGATGCCATCCAATCATCTCGTTCTCTGTCGCCCCCTTCTCCTCCTGCCATCAGTCTTTCCCAGCATCAGATTCTTTTCCAGTGAATCAGCTCTTCACATCAGATGGCCAAAGTATTGAAGCTTCAACATCAGTCCTTTCAATGAATATTGAGGACTGATTTCCTTTAGGATTGATTTGACCCTACGGGTTTGATCTCCTTGCTGTCCAAGAGACTCTCAAGAGTCTTCTCTAACACCACAGTTTAAAAGCATCAGTTCTTTAGCACTCAGCCTTGTTCATGGTCCAACTCTTACATCCATACATGACCACCAGAAAAACCATAGCTTTGACTATATGGATCTTTGTTGGCAAAAAAGGGCATGCTTAAGAAATAAAAAATGACAGCTCAATTCTCTTGACTAATAAAAGGCTGAAAAATGTGAATGTGATACAGTGAGTGATACAAATGAGTTCTGTTCTGCGAGTGTGTTCTTAAGTGTAATTTGTTCATAAGTCCACAAAGTTAGCCTAGGTACCCAACAAACATAATCGGCTTTATAGTGCTGTACTGTAATAGGTTTATAATACTTTTCACACAAATAATACATTAAAAAAACACACACACAAAAAAGGAAACATCTTTAATCTAAAGTGCAGCACCTTGAACGCACAGTAGTATGGTACAACAGGCGGCACACAGGGGGCTGGCATCGAGTGAGCAGGCAAGAAGAGCTCGTCACTGGAGCCGTGAGAGGAGGTGGGAGATGGCAGAGCTGAAGGATCGTCAGCAACAGGAGACGGAGGGCAAGCTGTCATTTCACTCACGCTGACATTGATGGAACACACGTTCACATCTTTGAAACTTCAGAACTTGAAGGTTCGTATGTAGGGGACTTATTGTATATGTGTGTGGGGGGGGTATCAGGGTACAGACAGAATGTAGAAGGGGAAAAGCTAGAGAAAAGCTGAGTTCAGAGACAAAAACTTTAAAAATCTTTTAACAGCCAACAGAGAAAGGACCAGAAAGGGTAGAAGTATTGGGTAAGAAGAGTGTGTGTGTGTGTGAGAGAGAGAGAACAACCTGGGTGGGCTGTGTACTCTGATAGCCCCTCTGGCTGGCCCCACAAAGCTTCAGTAATGGTCACTAAAGTCATCACATGTTTGGTGTAGTGGGAATTTCCTGGGGAAACATGTAGAGGGATGCCATTCTATCCACGTGCATAGAAACAGTGACCCACAGGCTTAAGCACGGTTAACAGGTAATGTATTTAATAGGATACTTGCCATTCTGCAGGTCTCTTCTTTTCCTGAGCCATAAATACAGCCAAATACATCAAGAATGGGAACCAGAATTCACTGTCTCTGATGAAAGACTATAATAATTTTTTTCACCTGACACTGTAACAGCCAACTTATTTACTAAACTGAATAAAATGATAAAACCCTTATGTTAGGTATCCATTTACCTACCATCTCCACACATGTCTGAAATGACACAGTAGTAACTTTTAATACAATATCCATAAATGGTAATTCTTTTTCTTCACTTATTTGCTTTAAGGATAACTACACATAAGGCTCCTAAGTAACATGTTATGTTCCAGTACTGTGATCTGGCCATCTCAATGTATAAAATATAGCTGTGATAAGAAAGGCCTTGGCCCCCATCACTATTCTCTTGTCTTTTAAGTGTAGAAGTCCGGTAAGGCACAGGTTCTGGCTGGGTTTGCCTCTAATTACCTTTGGTGAGCTCAACTCAGTAACTTCAGCGATTGCAGCAAAACTTTTCATCACCCACCAGCAGTCTCTTAACCCTCAGCATCCAGTGTGCAAGCTGTTACTAATACAAGTTTTCTTCACTGTAAATGATCACATTGCTCCCATGATTAAAACAAGTCAGTGATTTTCAGTAACTATTAACAATAGAATGAATTTAGACTTCCTAAAGTGACACAGAAGGATGCCCATGATCTGGTCCCTCCACTCACATTTTCCCAATGTCCCCACTTATGATGGGTAAGAAGGAGCCTGCTTCTATGAGCTTGCTACTGTCTCCCTAAAAAGCCTCCAGCCCCCCGACCCCATCATCACTTTTGCTGAATGAAACATGATGCATCCTGATCCAGAGGCGGCTGCCTGTCAGGGACACAGGTGCCTTCCACTGCATGGACATGGGGCAGGCCCTTTCCTGGGGTGAGATGGACAGAGTGAATGTCTGCTGGAGGGTGTCAAATAATCAGTGGATATAGAAGCAGCCAAATCTGCCATGATGTGGGTTGCCATGGAAGACTGCTTTGCAGGGGACAAGACAGATGATGATAACAAGATCATCAGAGCTATGCCGTATTTGAAGAGCATCCTCATTTTCCCTGAGGCCTCCTGAGATCACTTCCTAATTTTTAATTACCCACATACCCTTATAATGCCAAGCATCTAAAAAAACCCTAAGGGCATCTTTGTTTGTCTGTCCACACTCTTTGCTCCTGTCACCTGAACAAACTACGATTCCTCTCCCTTATCACACCAACCCACACCTGGGGTCCTTCACAGTCTATTCCTTCAAGCCTTTAGCTGCTGAATAATTCCTATTTTCTCTTAATGACACAGCTCCAGAATGATCATCTTTGCCTCTCAGGTTTCTTTTGTATCTCCCTGAGCTCTCAAAAAATATCCTTGAGACTAACCATGCCACAGTGTAAAGGTGGAATAGTGAGTGGGGAGGTCAGAGGGAACCCCTTCCCACATCTCAGCTGCCCACAGGGAGGGACCAAAAAGGCAATGAAGGTCAAATTTATACACAGAGAAAGTAGAATAGTGGTGCCAGAGATGGGTGAGGGGAAAATGGGAAGTTACTGTTTAATGTGCACAGGGTTTCAGATTGGGTGGATGAAGAAGTTCTGGAGACAGATGGTGGTGATGGTGGCCCAACAACATGAATGCACTTAATGGCCACTGAAGTGTACACTGAAAAATGGGTAAGATGGCAAATTTTATGTTATGTGCATTTTGCCACAATAAATAAAATGAAAAAAGGGGGGAGTAATGAAGTGTTTCTAATCCGTAAACTGCTGTTCAAGTAATGTTTGCCCTGGGAAGGTCCAAGGGATGGCTGGAAGGTCAGGTGTGAGTGAGCTGCCCCTGAGAAGGGTGGGAAGAAGTAACTACTGGCAGGTTTTTTGTACAGTTCTTCTGTGTATTCTTGCCACCTTAATCTCTTCTGTTTCTGTTAAGTCCTTGCTGTTTCTGTCATTTATTGTATACATCTTTGCATGAAAGTTTCCCTTGGTATCTCCAGTTTTCTTCAGGAGATCTCTAGTCTTTCCCATTTTATTGTTTTCCTCTATTTCTTTGCATTGTTCACTTAAGAAGGTTTTCTTATCTCTCCTTGCTATTCCCTGGATCTCTGCATGGCAGAAAGCGAAGAGAAACTAAAGAGCCTCTTGATGAAGGTGAAAGAGGAGAGGGAAAAGGCTGGATTAAAACTCAACATTCAAAAAACTAAGATCAAAGCATCCAGTTCCATCACTTCATGGTACAGAGATAGGGAAAAAGTGGAAACAGTGGTAGATTTTATGTTCTTTGGCTCCAAAATCACTGCAGATGGAGACTGTAGCCATGAAATTAAAACATGCTTGCTCTTTGGATGAAAAGCTATGACAAACCTAGACAGTGTGTTAAAAAGCAGACACATCACTTTGCTGACCAGGGTCTGGTTTAGTCAAAGCTATGGTTTTTCCAGTAGTCATGTATGGATGTGAGAGTTGGACCATAGAGAAGGCTGAGTGTCAAAGAATTGATGCTTTTGAACGGTGGTGCTGGAGAAGACTCTTGAGAGTCCCTTGGACAGCAAGGAGATCAAACCAGTCAATCCTAAAGGAAATCAACCCTAAATATTCACTGGAAGGACTGATGCTGAAACTGAAGCTTCAATACTTTGGCCATCTGATGTGAAGAGCTGACTCACTGGAAAAGAACCTGATGCTGGGAAAGATTGATGGCAGGAGGAGAAGGGGGTGACAGATGATGAGACAGTTGGATGGCATCACCAAGTCAATGGACGTGAGTTTGAACAAACTCCAGGAGATAACGAAAAACAGGGAAGCCTGGCGTGCTTCAGTCCATGTGGTCACAGAGAGTCAGACATGACTTTAGTGAATGAACAACAACTGGCAGGCCAGCAAAGCAAGCTGACAAATGACCGGTGGGTAACGTGGGAAAGTGTGAAAGCAAGTTACACCTGGATCAGAAGTTGATTCCGGAAGATAACAATGTATATCAGGGGTAAACGGCGTGTGTGAAGAAAACTGCAGAAAATTTTCATTAAAGGAAACGTATGCCTCTGAGGTGTCAGCAACAGACTACTGAGGCTTTTGGAAAACCTCAGCACATCAAAGATGTTTTATTACAATATGTTGCATGTTTATTCCTAGGTATCTTTAGAAGACTGTATTACATACTGAAAAGAGAAAGATGACTTACATCCAAAATTATGAACAATGTATTTAAAAGTGTTTATAATTTTGAACAAAAGGCCATCTCACATAATTAAATATGGGCTATCTCATTCCATTGTTTTGAGAATTGCACAGGGAAGATATCAATATGCAGAAAGAAGTAACACAGGATAAATGTGGAGATGAATCATGCAATGGAGGGCATTGTCACAGACGGCTGGAAAGGATTAAGCCATAAGAAACAAATCCTGTAAAGACAGAAGTTTTTCCATCAATTCCACTTTCTCCAAGGACCCACAGAAATGAGGACAGAGGAGAAATGAGTAAAATGTTATATGGGAAAATAACTTATTTCTTATGGCTTTGGGGAACATAAAAACTCCAAGCTAAGTAAACAAATTAAAGAAAAAAGATTTACACATTTTCAAAATATAAGGTGACAGATTTGGAGTTTCAGAAAACCAAAATATATCTGTTACATATCTGCAAGAGCTGGTCCTCACTTCCCTCTCTTATTTCTTCTGTTTTTTTTTTTTTTATGGGCTTCAAAATTAAACAAGTCTACTAGATTGTTTTCACAGATAAAAAAACAAAAAACAGGTTCACCATTTTTCTAATATTAGCTGCTAACTACTTTAAAATGACTACTTAACTTCTAGACAACAGAGTCAGCTAAAAAATCTTGGTTTATTTAATCAAGACTATCAGGACATCTGTGTGAAGAGATACTGGGGCTTCCTTGGTGATTAAGGAATTAACAATATTAAAGGAGAAAAATCTGCTCTTGGGGTGTTAAAATCTGAGTGCATTCTTAGTAATGCATTTATTTAAATCTCACAGCACTAGGCACTAATCTAACAACTGAGAAGACTAACAAGAAAATATCATCTCTGTCCTCAAGGAATGTACCCTTCAACTAAAGATCTCTCAACCTACCTACCTACCTACTTGTCAACACTCACACACACACACATTTGTCATATAACTATGAATAAAATGATACGATGAATACTTGAATGGAAACCTGAAAAAACTGCAATGGGAAAAGAGTATGAAACATTAATTAAGCCCATGGCAGGGGCTGCGAGCTCATGGAGCTGGTGAGGGAGAGAGAAGGAAGATAAAGACTTCATGAAAAAGATGACATAGGAGCTGGCTCTGAAGGATGAAAAGAATGAACACAGTATTAGAGGTAAACAAGAATACATTAGGCTGAATGGACAGGTGTTGCTTCAATTATGATGGGCCTTGAATAAAGACTTTGAGCTTTACTTTGTAGAAGACATGAATTGATAGAGTTACATCTAGAGAAGGGAGTGACAAAGTTTTTTCTCAAGGGATCATACAGTCAAATATTTAGTCTTGTAGGACACACAGTCTTTGTTGCAACGACTCAACTACGCCATCTGAGTGCTACAGCAACCATACACGATATGTAATTAAGTGGGTGTGGCTGGAGTTTTAATAAAACATTCTTTAAAAAATCAAATGACATGGGTGGAGAGGGAGGTGGGAGGGGGGACCGGGATGGGGAATACATGTAAAAAAAAAAAAAAAAGATACACTATGGTTGTGATAAAAAAAAAATTAAAAAAAAAAATTAAAAAAAAAAAAAAAATCAAATGACAGGGCTGCAGGTTGAAGTTTACTGATCCCTGCTCTAGTGAATAACTCGGGAGAGTTAAGAAGCAGTCCAAGAGAGAGACGATGAAGGCCTGATTGAGGCAGTGAAACTGGAAAAAATAAGAAAGGATATGGCTTTCATTTTTAGGAAGCAGAACCAATAGCACCTCATGAATGGGAGGTATCAAAGATATCATAAAGGTCTCCAGTCTGAGTCAAGAACTGGGAACTTTTAACTTTTAAGCAATTCTCTTAACTGATATAGTGGAACCGTAGCTAGAGGCATGCTTAAATCCTGGGAACATAAACATCACTTCAGAAAACGTTCCTTTACTCTTTCAAAGCTGGGGGAGGAACCAAGATTCAGGAGTTCCTTGGAAGAACAACGTGCCAAAAGACTAAGATTTGTAATTTCTAAATCCAATTAAAGGGTTCTCATTCTGGTTAAGATATGGTATGCACATTTTAGTGTATTTTTTCTCACTGATTCAACTAAAAACCCAAGACAGAATATATAAAGCAACTATTAGAGAATTCTGAAAAGTAAACAAGAAGGTAGACAGAACAGGAAAATCAATACTCAGAGGAGGATGACATAGTGGTGAGCTCCTGGTTTTTACCTTTTTGCCTTTTATATCTCCAGGCTTAGCCTTCCCTGTTTCCTGTAACTTCAAATGGAAAACAGACAGAAAAAGCTCCTCTAGTCAGAGAACTGGGAAAAGGACCTTCTGTGGGATGGAGGACTTTGTGTTCTTCTGGTCCACTCTGAGACCCAGGAACAAAGCTGCAAACCTGCATTGTGACATGAGGGGCAGTCACAGTGGCAGCTTCCATTTTTCTGTTTTCTTTCACTGCCTTCCCCCTACCAGGGAGGCTGACTATACATAGTAGATCATAGTGTGGAGGATCAAGTCTTGGCTCTGAGTACTCAGCTCTGATTAGGCGAGAGTATCAGGAAAAGGAGCTCTTGGGAGATGCTAAGAGTGAGAAAGATCAGAGGGAGCAAGTAGATGGAGAAAGGAATTTTCAAATTATGTGTATGACTTCCTGGGCTCACCCTTAAGCTGTACACATACAGAATGAATCAGAATCAACATAACAAAGCTTTTGATAAATGAACTATGGTATCGATAACTGTCCTTGTCCCAGGTCTCCCCAGGGGGCACACAGCAGGAAAGACCACGGAAGTGCAGCAAAGGCTTTGAAAACTAAACCGACCTTCAAAAGGTAACTCTGGACTTTAAGTCTGAACTTAGCTGGATTGATTTTTTGAAGATTTTAACAAAACCCAGAATCTCACAATATTCAAAATGTCTGGGATACAATCCAAAATTACTTGACATTCAGAGAACCAGGAAAACTAAATAAATCTCAGAGGGAAAAAGCAATTAACAGATGCCAACTCTAAGATGATTCAGTTGTTGAAATTATAGGCAAATACTATGAAACAGCTATTATAACCGTGCTACTTGAAGTAAAAGTGAACACTTGTGAAATGAAGAGAAAAATACAAATTTTTGCAAAGTCATTGAAGCTATTAAAAATAACTAAATAAACTTTTAGACAAATAATAAAAAATTTAAAAAATTAAAACTTCACTGGAAGGGCTCTGTAGTTGAATGGAAATGATAAAGAAGAGCTAATGAACTTGAAAATGGATAAATGGAAATTATCCAATCTGAAAAACAGAAAGAATAAAAAAATTGAAACCCCTCCCACAAAACAGCACCCCAGGAAATTATAGAACAATACCAAATGGTCTAACATCGATAAAACTGGAGTCCCAAAACAGAGAATCAGTGCAGAAAATATATTTGAAGAAATAATGCCTGAACGTTTCCCAAATTTGGTGAAAGAAATGTTGAGAGATCCAAGAGGCTCAGCAAACCCAGCCAGTACACACTTAAAAAAAACCATGCTGATATATATATCATAATTGAAGTGCTGAAAACCAAAGACAAAGTCTTAAAGGCAACCAGAGAAAATTACACATTACATACAGGGGAACAATTTAAATGACTACAGCTCTCATCAAAAACAATGGAGGCCAAAAGAAAATAAAAGTTTTAAAGTACTGTTACAAAGACACTGTCCAACTGTATCCAGCAAACATTTCCTTCAGGGATAAAGGTAAACTAAAGATGAAGGACAACTAAGAATTCTTCACTACTAGATCTGTTCTAAAAGAAATACTATAACAAGTTCTAGAGATTGAATGAAAATGCTAACAGAGGAAAATTGAGAATTTCATGAGTGAAGAAAGAGCAACAGGAATGGTAAATATCTGAGTAAATATAATAGATAATTTTTATCCTCTTAAATTCTTTAAAATAGGTATGACTTAAAAATTATGACACTATACAATGGAATTTTTCAATGTACATACGTATATGCTTTTGACTATTACAATGTCCAGTGGGGAGGTTGTAAAGTTCCTATATTTAACTTGAAGTGGTGAAATACTAACTCTAAAATACTAACTGTAAAAAGCTAGGTGTGTATTTTATAAACCTCTCAAAAACCAATCCCAAAGCCAACTCCTAAAAAATTATGTAAATAGATATAGTAAAGAAAAAACATATATTCCAGTTCTAAATTCCAATTTTAAAAGGAGAAATGCTTGAGTCTTCAGCTCTAATTTAAAAAACAGAGGAATTATATTTAATATAACAGTGACCAGCCCACTTCCCCCAACTCAAGTCAAAAGACACATTACCTGTGAAATTCTGTGCTTTGAGGTGCAGATCATAGAGTTTGTGGATGTAGCGTATATACATCTCCTCCTTGTTCAGTTCAGTCTTATAGAAGTTCTAAGAGAAAAAAAAAGAGTATAAGTATGGATAATTTTTCAACAGTTAGGTTGGCAGGTATCTACCCTTTACTCTGCTTGAAGTTTCATGTCTTGAACCAAGAAAACAGACAAATTTTTCATACAAATGTCTTACAAAATTAAGTAAGGGACACAGTCATTCATGTATATATATATATATTTGACATTTCTTTCATTTTATTTTGGCTGTGCCGCATGGCATGTGGAATCTTAGTCCCCTGACTAAGGATAGAACCCGCACTCCCTGCATTGTTAGTGCAGTCTTAACCTTTGGACAGCCAGTCAAGGGCAAAAGACAGTGACCTATCTTTAATTCAACACTGTCTGTATTAAAAATTACCTACCAATAACTGGATAGGCTGGTAACTCCTGGGGGGGATGTTACTACCACTGATTCACATTTCTTTTGTTACTCTCTATTGTTTTTTGGTTAAGTTTAACTGCCAATGAACTACTCTAAAAATTCAACTAAAATATTAAAAATATGTTAAGATATTAACCTATTTATTACATTTGATCACTGATAGTCAAAGGATAACTTCTTTCATCTTAAAATTATTTTATGGTGAATTAAAGGTTTCCAGTTTATGACTACAACATAAAGGGATTTGTAAGAGATTTTATTTCAAATTATTGCTACAAGGGCATGCTTACTGGAAATATTTGGTTTATGAAAACAAAGTATCTGGATCTTATTTAAACTTCTCTAAAATGTTTAACATTCATCATCAGAAACTCAACTTTGACTTAACTGAACACATTATGTTGTTATTTTAAATGTTTACATTACAGGTCGCCACATCTATTTCTTTATCAATATCAATTTTCTAATATAGAAAGTATGTTAGTCCTCACTGAACTTTGTAAACATAGGAGCAAAAGTGTAAGAAGTTGGAACTCCGCAAAAGCGTGATGCTGTGAGGCTCTGTATAAGGCTCCTTCAGCAAGCAGATCACTGCAGATCTTATGAACTCTCTGCTTACAGCCATCTGAACTACTATCATTACTATTGCTATTATTTTGACAGATGCTACTTGGTGTTTAGAATGAAAAATGAATAGTGATGGGGAGACAAATCTGTTGACTTGAAGGAGTAACAGGTTTTTCTAGGGGGAAAGGCCAGGAATTTTAAACATTTCTAAAGTTGATTAGCTAGAGAGGGCTTTGGTTACGGACCAAACTAGCCAGTGTGGCTGCTTAACTGTACTTGGGCTTGAAGCCTGAGGGCCTCCTGTCAATGTACTTTGTGGCCACTACCTAACAGGTATCCATTCTTCAATATGAGGACACATCTAACTTCAAGAAGCTGACATGTAGTTGAACGCATCATAGAAAAATATCTCCTCCAATTTATACCTTTATCCTTTCCCTTTCCTCTTGGGTCCTGTAGATCTTGGGTGACACTAATCTTGGGTGGCTTGTCAGGTGGCACTAATCGTAAAGAACCCAGCTGTCAATGCAGGAGACATAATAGACCTGGGCTCAATTCTTGGGTTGGAAAGATCTCCAAGAGGAGGGCGCAGCACCCTACTCCAACATTCTTGCCTGGAGAATCCCATGGACAGGAGCCTGGTAGGCTACAGTTTCCTGTAGATCTTAGCATTCTTTAAAAAGCTAAGTAAACAATGCTCTTCACCTCTCTCTTATTATAACCAAAATCATTTTAATAAGCAAGAATTATTGTACCATAAACATAAATCTAACCACTCAATAGCAGACCTTTACATTATTAAACAATGTTTTGTTTTGTTTCTTCCCAATAGCTTTCTGGTAAGAAGCAGATTTCTTTGGGAACAAAATAACTGATCATTCTGTAAATGAATAGTAGTTCTTTAAAAAAAAAAAAAAAGAAAGAAAAGATATCTCCAGTCAGCAGATGAGTCTCTTTCATGTATGTCTGGCAAAACTAGTGACAGAAAGAACAAAACAATAATTAATTTCCTAGTTTTAGTCATGTCAAAGATTACACATTTTTAGCAGTCTAATACTACCGTTTAACTCAGAGCTTGTAGAGAAAGTCAGAGTTCCTCTGAAGACAATCTGGAATTGATCTTTCCAAAGAGTTAAGAAAAATCTCCAGGAGGAAGTAAGTGATTAAAGAGAAGCATATTGCAGCTAGAAAACATCAGAAAACTTTCCATATGGAGTATAAGCTAAAAAGATTAGCTTCAGAGCTATATATTCGGTCCTTTAATAATAAGTATTCCTGTGCAGTTGAAATTAAAACAGTGTTCAAAATGTTAGCATTTCCTATAAGGACTATTCTTGGTCAGTGTAAAACTAACAAGATAGATTCTTTGTCTCATGTGAACACTGATGGGGGCCACAGATTTTATTGTCTCTGGCTCATTCCTCCTGGGAAACTAGAGTAAACACATGTAGGTCAAGAGTATTCAGTCTTTCATCCGAGGAAATGATATCTTCTGTTTATACCAGTTAAGGAAATGGACCCAGAGTCTACACTTAAGAGTGTACCTCCCAAGGTCACAGAGGGTGCTGTGAAAGCAGATGGAGACAATGGAAGACGATTCCTTCGGGAAAAGGTAAAGGCTTTCCTTTGAGGTTATTTATGAGATTTTGGGCTTGGAGCTGGGGAAGAGCCAGGATTAAGGAGACAGACTGAGAAAACCTGAAGACGACAGAGCACTTGGCTTCTTTCCTCAAATATTGACGTACAAGCAGAGACACGGAAGGAGATCAGGCTGAGGACCTTGACCACGGCCAAAGGCTGGCAAACAGTGGGGAAAGCACAGAAAGGAAATTCAGAAGTGGGAATGACTCTGCTCAAGGTTAGACATTAAGTGCTAAGAGGAGAGGTAATGGGCTGACCCCATGAGCTTGGCCTGATGGCCTGCAGGTTACTATTGGGTCTGATGATAAAAATTATGGAAGAAACTGCATAACAAGAGGTGGCCTGACAAAGGATACTCAGGTCTCACTATTTTTAGCACCTGGTATCAGAGGTGGGGTGTAACAATTAAATGCAAAAATGAGGAGGAAGTGGTGGGTGTGGTTAAAAAAAAAAGGATAAAGTCATATACTCAGTGATGAACAGTACAGCGAGAAAAGAAATAAAGGAAAAAGATAGTCCTAAGAAAGTAAAAATTCTGAGCTCTGAAGAGGGACTGTGAGGGGAATAAACAAAACAAAAAAATCTGAAATCAATGAGCTAAGACAAGACAGAATCAGATTGGGGAAAAAACAAAATTTTAAGATGCAGGCAAATAGTGAACAAAAAGGCATGGATGTAAGAGACTCGTGGATCAGAGTAAGAATTAGAATTGTTTGTGCAAATACTTAGGATAGATGATGAGGTATACCTATTCTGTGAAATAAGAAAAAGAAACCATGATATACACAAATTTAGAACCAGAAACAGAGTATTCTTGTATTTTAAATCTGATCAATGTAAATTATTAAAAGCATCAATTTATCCTACACCAAAATTTGAAAAAGGAATGTAAATGTATAGTCCTTCTTTTGCTCTGTAGTGAGAATACCATTCTATTTGATAATTAGTTATGAGAACTTTCAGGATAAATTTTGTGTTCCTAGAACTGTTCTGCTGTAGCCTATTATCCTTATGATACTGATTTTTATTTTCAAAAATTTCTTGTTTGGATGAGAAACTATAAGGTTATCCCAGGTATAGTCCAAACTTTAACCACAGATGGCTTTAATTTGCAAAGATGCTATAGAGTGAAAATATGTGTGTTAAACAGAAAACTGTCATTTGTTCAGAAAGGAACATTAATATTTATTAAAATCTAGAATAAATATAAGCAGGATAGAAAGGAACTGTTTACACAGAAGTGGAAAGATCTTTTTCCAGGGACATCATCCTTTTTCCTAGGAGAGCAACAAAGGACTCTAGGGCAGAAAAGTGAGACAACAGGGAGAAGCTGGCATCACCCTGGGATCTTACAGTGGGTACTTTCTGCAACACTGGGGAGCTGAGAATTCTCTAGCATTTAATTCAAACTAAAGCAAAGAACACTTCTAAACTCTTCTAAGAAACACTCAGACAAAGACACACTGTGGCAGAAAAACAAACAAAACATAGTATTTCTGAGAAAAAGCAAACATTATAATGCAAGGAGGGAAAGGGAAGTCATTGACTAACCAGGAGGCTCACGGTGCAGCCAATCTTTTTGCCATCTACCTCGCCCATTTTCATGCAGTCCCTAAAAACAAGAAGCAAGAGTCAGAACTCAGAACTTCCTTTCTAAGGGCAAACACAGTTTGTTCTTCTAGGGGAAAAAATGAAACTGTCAGAGACTAGAGGCTATTTGCAAGTTGCTGTTTGGATCAAGGAGGCCAGAGCCCCAAGAGGCTTGGGGTTTGGGGTGGGGGGGGGTGGGGGGAGGGCAGTCAGACCCTCCCTGAGCACCAGCGTGACTGTAGATTTCACTTCCAGGTGGGCTGTGCCCTCTCTCAACAGAGAGTGGGCTCAGGAAGAGGAGGAGTGAGGGGATGTTATGACACACCTTTTACTGGGCTGAAAAGGAGTCCGTAAGCCTGGCCATCAGTAGTAACAATGCGGCTTTTTTTCTTAAAATACCATGCATGTAAGTGGGATGACCTGCTTCAACAGTTTAGATCACTTCAAAATAAAAAAAATCATGTCTCTGAAAGGTAACGGTGTGAGTTTCATTCCCTCTCTCCTTCTATAAGAAAGCAGCATGGTTATACAATTCTCTGTTACAATACCGTCACACTAAGATGAATGGGTCTATTGATTCTAATGGGTGAGTTTCAAAAACAGCAACAAAGGATTTCCTTAATAACAGGACTCTCTCAATTTACTAAAACTTTAAAAGAACTGCCGTAAACCCCAGAACAAAATATTAAAAAAGGAAAAACAAACAAAGAGAAAATTGAGCTAGCTAGTTAAAAGTCCACTATTTTACTGCACAAGGTTCCACGGTCTGATTATCAGTTCTTTGAGTGATTAACTCAAGTGCAACTGTATTCTGACTCTTCGACTTCCTAACTGGAGCGCAGTGTATGTGGGAAACAGGGCTTACCTGTAATCTAACAACCTCTCCATCAGCCGAGTTACAGTGGCGATTAAGGAAACACCACTTTCTCTCCATGTTTCCCGCTCAATTTTCTTTAGTAGACTGGAAAAGAAAGAACCCAGGGTATTTTCAACATTTATTTTTATCAGTCACCATGACAACCATTTTACTTTCATCAGTACCTTAAATGCCTTAGCAACCACCGCAACATCTCACAAGTACCACGATGCAAACAATGTCTTACCTAGGATAGGGACCAAAGAGTGGAATTCTAATCCAGGAAGCATTGACAAAGCAAATTGATTTTCAGATTATCCAAGTCATCAAATACAAACACATGCATATAAATCATACTTTCAAAATATGCAAGCACCTCAGAGCTCAAAGACATTGTTTCCTAGCTTCTCTCTTCCACTAATATTAGAGGCTTGTGCCTCCCCACAACAAACAACATTGAGAAAAGCAAAAACAGGAGTGCCTCAAAGTTTACTTTTAAGTAAGATCTTGCTTTAGTCACACAAAAATGTTTTCCTACCTCTCAGTGGAATGCATCTTCATCCAAGCAATTTTACTGCAATGCAACTGCTACAGGAAAATCCTTGTACAGACGGTATGACGTTTTGCGTTTTTTCCTTTCACTTAACATTTGCCCACTCAATACATATTGTACTATCTGTGCACTCACTCAACAGTTTCATTCATTTTGTCATTAATCACCGAGGATTTTCTATGTGGTTGTTACAGCGGATTGATGACAAGTACCGAACCACATCTCTCCTCCTACATTTTTCCCCTAATCTTAAGCACCTTGGAGCAGAGGCATGCTATGTAAACACAAAACAATAACAATCATAATAATTAGGATCTCTTTTTACTTTCACTCCCACCTCTCGGCAAATTAACCATATACTTGGCAAAACCCCTTTAAGATTGAACTTTCCCCAAAAGAAAAAAAGAACATAGGCATGACAACATGAGGATACTCTGTTCTCCTAAATTTAATGATGATTATTTCTAAAATCTTGTTTCCCTCTTATCCTGGATTCAGGAATAACAGAGAGAGAAGACATTTTTTACTTTTTATTTTTCTCACAAGTACCATCTCAGTCTAGCCCGTATTGTGCTTAGTAGGAAAAAAAAAGCTATTTTGTCAAAGCTTTTTTCTTTTTTTGGTCTTTGGCTATGTTCTCTCTCAATTGTCCCTCCTGCTCCCCCCACATTCTTTCGGCCATTGCCCTTCCAGTGCCTGGTCTTCTGTCCTGGCTCCTCATCTGGTGCCTAGGCATCCCTGATCATTTGTTTTTCTGGCTTATTCTGAACTGCTTCCTAAACTAAGGAGGGGGAGGAAGGGAGAGGTAACACATGAAGGAGTGGAGCTTGCCCTGACTAATCCCCCAGGGAAAAGTCCCCTAGTTTGTTCTAAATGTGTTTTCTTTAAAAAAAAGAAAAGAAAAGAAAAAACCCTCTGAAAAGCACCTGTTTCAAGCTTAAATGCCAAACTGGTATTGAACCAAGTACACAAATGAAACTCTGCCTGCCAAAGCAAGGCAGGATGACGGAGAAATCTTCCCAAGCGACAGCCCACACCTCATATACTTTAGAGGCTGAAAAACAAAGAACTCAAGTTAAGTAATAATTCTAAAAATAAATGGGAGACTTCTTTTATAGGCATGAGCTTCACTAACTTGCACAGCCCCTGGATGCAGTCAGAAATTAGAGCTACAGAATCCTCTTGCGAAAAGAGGCACAACTCTGCAGAGCCTGCTGCCTTGACTAACCTGAGACTCAAATTATCAGGACCAAGCCGAGAACCTGGTTCATCTGCTTTCTTGGCCAGGATTATTCTTTCTGTGGGAAAGCTGGCCCTCCAAGCTTACTTGATACACCCGGACAAGGAGAGGCTATCAGACAAGAAGAGTCTTTCTATAAAACTTGGGTGACACAGGTCTATAATTTGGTCTACAATCATGCCAATGTGCCCATGCTGAGTACACAGGGAACTCATCTAGTAACAATGAAAGCTTTCTATTTTTTTTTTTTTTGAGGCAATAAGATGATAAATGGTTGCTACATAAACTAATGCGCTAACTTTACATACATGTCACAAGAGCATAAATGATGCATCATTTCTTTATAACTTTTAAAAACCATTTTAAAAAACAGAACTACAGTTAATTTACAATGTTGTTAGTTTCAAGGGTACAGCAAAATGATTCAGATACATATATATACAAATATATCTCCCTTTTTTCTTTTCTATTATAGATTATTACAAGATATTGAATATAGCTCTCTGTGCTATACAATAGGTCCTTTCTGTTGAGATATAGAAGTTTGTCTGTGTTAATCCCAAACTCCTAATTTATCTCCCCACTCCAAGGTGATTTTTTATTGCTAATGATAGGCAATTGGCTGCCACGACAACGAGGAGCCACATAAATAACGCCCTGCAGGACTATGCCCTGGCTCATTAGGCTTTTCCCCTCTGATGGAATGAAGGGTGCAGAATTTGACCCTCACTTTACCTCTCTCTGTGTCTTAACAGGATTGTGTGGAGGCCAGCGCTTTATATACATAGGTGGCTCAGATGGTAAAGCATCTGCCTGCAATGTAGGAGACCTGGGTTCGATCCCTGGGTCAGGAAGATCCCCTGGAGAAGAGAATGGCAACCCACTCCAGCATTCTTGCATGGAGAATGCCAAGGACAGAGGAGCCTGGTGGGCTACAGTCTATGGGGTCGCAGAGTCGGACACAACTGAGCAACTTTCCTTTCATTTCTTCACTTCAAATACACACACACACACACACACACACACAGCTCTATGAAATTATTTGGAGCCTTACTGAATTATTCAGAGCAACACACAATAAAACACAGTGGAGGACTGAGATGGAGGTTACATCTTCCGGAAATCCCCTTCCTAACCCCCGAGGCTGTCAGTACCCTCGCTGTGTGCGCCAACAGCCAGCCGCTGACGCACCCTCAGCCTCAGAAGACCAGCAAGCACGGGGAGATGCTCAATTAATGAAGCTGAAGGAGTCAACGAAGCGGATGCAGGGAAGCAGGGTTTCATTCCGATACCTCGTTCTGCATATCTCATGGGCAGCGATGATGCACAATTTCAGCATTATCAAAACCAATATATCCCGACCCTCATTTATTTCAGAAAGATGTAGTGTGGGAAAATGAGGATAACATGAGGGTCAGGGAAAGACGAGTTTTTAGGAAGGACTGTGCTTTATAAATTCATAGTTCCATTCTAAGGAGGCTATTTTGGCAAGTATATATCGCATTTTCAGGAAGCAGTGAGCTACTTTCAGCTTCTGACCGAATTTTAAGAAGTTTTAGACATGAATTACAGAGAAAAAATGAAAATCTGTACCACAATGTCATGTGTTCCCAATTCATAATGTGTGCAGTGACACAGTGTGATTACCCTAATTCTTTGTGATTTCTATTGTCAAAAAAGCATTTTATTGTTTCCTGAAATATAGTTGGATTTTCCCTTTCTTTTCTGAGCCCAGGTAGTAATGACATTTAATTATTACTTTAGATTTTATTTATTCTCAATATGCTGATCATAAAAGTATGAGAAACATTTATAGTAAGATTTCTAGTGATATGCTAGAAAATCAAGAAAAGAATAAAAATCTCCAGTGAATGAATCAGGAACCTTAAAACAGTCCTAATTATAGAGGCTTAATATTTTAATTATTGGTTTGATTTTAATGTCAAGGTACATCTTCTATTTCAAAGCCATATTTACACACAAGCAGTCCAAATTGCATGCTATCAGGCCTTTATTAAAGTAGATAAGAGGCACTACAGAGCTATGTCAGTGCTTATTAATTTTGTGAATTTATTATAAATAATTAATCACAAATCTCAAGAGATTCATTTCACCAAGTGCTTTCTCATTTTAGTTCTTTGTTCAAACCAAAGACTAGTAACGGAATTGAGAGTGGTTTTCAAAAGTAATTTATTATACTGGATGAGGTTTTAATCAGAATTCTTGCTAAACTCCAGCTGTCATGAAAGACAGATGCTTTGTACAGTAGAATGAACAAAGGCTTGGTGAATAATTATTAAAAGTTCCAGTTTAATTACAGTATCAGAAGAAAATGCCATTGTTCAGGATTCAGTACAAAGAATGTATTTTATCACATACCACCACCACAAGAGATCTGTATACCCCTTCTTGGCTTTTCCCTTTAATATAATTTTCTTAAAAGCGTCAAGAATGACTTTAAATCAGGCAAGTTGAAATCTATCAACCATTAGTAACACTTTTCAACCCTATATATTAATATATCTGCTGCTCTAAATTTATGATCATAACATTTAAATTACAGAGTTTTCTATCTGGCTATCAGTGCTAAAGCAGTAGTATTTAGTTTTAGATTTACTTGGTTGTAACTACAAGGAAAAGCATATTTTGTAATAGAAAAATATATTGCTAAATTGTTTCTGCACTTCTGAAAGAACTGCAAACATTTCCCAAGCACAATGAGCTGGTTCTTCCTTCAAAAAGAAACACTTCATAAGTATAAAAGGTTAGACAATGACTAAGATCCTTAGAAAGCTGTAGAGAAAACAAGTGCTAGAATTAAAATCCTTAAGCACTGGAACCTTCTTATGTATTGTCTGTGGCCATTTTACAAAGTGAGTGACTGCTCAGTATACGCACTTCATCCTGGGACAGTGATCACAGTCTTTCTTTAGTAAAGACAACTTCAAGTCTCCTTAAAATACTCCATTACTTCTTTATCCTCCTTACAAATCCTAATCACAGAATCTACTAGAAATTATTTGCTTCTGTGATATTCTAGTAAGGAACATTTAGGAAGCAATTAATAATGCTGAATGAGCAATAAGCATTGCTGAATTAAAGCAAGCGCTGAAGAACAGATGCAAACTAGGTTAATTTTCCTAACAGCAAATCAGCCAAGGACATCTTGGGAAGCATTGCACACAAACACAACAATCGCACCACTATTTTGTTTTCCTCTCCCACTATCTACCCAATTAAAAATCATTACCTTGCGGCCCCAATTTTAAAATTGTTAGTCACGAAAAGAGTGAGATTTGTAATGTAACACTTGTAACCTGTCCTAATCAGAGATTAATACAAGGAGATATGTCTAATCATCAGCATAATAAGATCCATTCACCAGAGTTAGGCAATGATCCTTTATTTCACACTCCACAAAGACAAAGCACTCTGGGGAGACCCAAGCTATCTTTGCAGCTCTCAGCTGCTTAACAAACCCCCCAAAAAGAATCAACTGGAGATACACATGTTACTCACATACTGTTGAAGAGCTCACGGTAGGTTTCATCGCCTTTGCCTTCGGACATCAGGCTGTCCAGTTTGTCAATGAGCTTGGCTTCCACCTAAAACAGACCCAAATGTTACTCTCTTTCTTTCCTTCTCACAAGGAGGATTTTCTAGGCACATGGAAACATATTTATTTCTCAAAGGGAAAAAGCCACAGTAAATTTTGTGAATTTATCAGCTGTGGTTAACCAGAGACACCCCCTTGGAATTCTAGGGGGCCAATTTAGATGCAGGAACATGACTTCAAACTCCCGGTGGGGTAGCGTGTGCTGCCGCGAAAGACTTCTATTTGTTGATTCAAACACAAATGCCTGCAGCCCAGCTTAAATGTTTGAATTCTTTTTTTAGGAGCTGTAAAAACTGGCAAGGCTTTTTGGTTTTTTTCAAATCATGATATATATATATATACACACACACACACATACATATATATAAGAACATCAGCAAACTACCATATCCACAAACATTCAGTTAAATCTTTGATGTGTTTTGTATCTATTTTCTTTCTCAAAACAGTTTGAGGTTGCACTAAATCTTTGCTGAAGTTGAGAATTTGTCCTAACCATGTACAGATGGTAGATCCATAGACATATTCTAAGTCAGCAATCGGCAGCATGAGACAGAAAGGACATATTTCCTGAAAACTGTAGTCAAAACATTTATATTTTCAAGAACATAAATCCTTTAGGACTTCAGTGTCAGGAAAGCAGAAATAAATATCCCTTCATCTCTCGGAGACAGCAGAGGGGACAGGAAAGGAAGAGTTTCTGCAAGGCCAGAGAGTTAACAACTAGGGGTATGGAGGGATATCTGACTTTGTCAGAGGACTGAGCACTATTATTTTCTTTGAATCAAAAATTTCAATAAATGGGTAAAGAGATAAGGGAAGAAAGGTGTGTTTTCCCCAATATAATTTTTAAATAGGCTTTCATTCATGTATTGACTCTCTTGAAAATAAATGAAGGTCTTGATACAGATGAAATGTCATGCTTTTGGCAATGGGAGGGTTCTATGTATGCATTCAGCTTGTTCATACAGTTGACCATCATTTTCTAAGACTTGAGAAGGGCTCACAGGGAGAAGCAAGAAGCTTCCTTCATGCAGCAGAGTGCACACAGGTGAGTGCCATGACTGTGTGAACAGTTGGCCTGCTGTCTCCAATAGGAGTGACTTGCCCTGGCAAAGGCAGTTGATTTCTGCTATGAGATCTGGTTTTGGAATAAGAACAAGTATCTCTCCAAAACTGGAGCCTGTGACAAGGAGATCCTGTATCAAAGAGAAATGATAAACTCATGCTCATCTTCTTGGAATTTCTTTTACAACAATTTTGACTGCTTTTCTCTTTAAATTAATTCTCAGCACTTCAAGCAAAGAGCAATAAAACATACTGTGCATCAAATGCTCAAAGCTAAGCCATTCACCAAACACAATGTGCAGACCACTGAGAGGTCAGCAATTTTAGGAATCATTAACCTTCTGATTCCTCTGTGCTGTGTCCAGCTGGGAGCAAATAAAGTTTCTACTAGTTCTTAAACACAGACCTTGGGAATCACAGGATTTTTTTTTTTTTTTTAGCTGAAAGGTAATTAAATTTTTTTTTTTCAGGGCTTCTCAGAGATTCAGGGAGACAGTCCCTGAAAGGTGTCCAAGGCTATGTATTCAGCTTGGAAGTAAGCAGCCTATGTTGAAATCTGGTTCAGAGCTCATTCCTCAACTCGGAGCATCTCTGAGCCACCACACTCAACTCTAAGAGAACTGAGACTCTTCTGACTGCTCTGAGAGCACATCCACCCACCTGTTTAAAATTGCCACTCCGCCTCTGCTCCCAGTCCATCATATCGTGGAAAATAGGAATCATGACATTGCGGAGATCTGGCTGGGGTATCAAGGTTACTTCCAGGAAGGGGCCGATCAGGGCAGGGATGAAATGGAGCTTGTGCTCTCCTAAAATGAATGAAATATTTACCTTTCTGTAGATTTAGTTTTAATAAGATTTCAGAAAATCAGTATTATATGACTTGTTTAAAACTACTGTCACAAGAACATGATCGATTATAGTTGTCTCAAGCAAGAAAATATTTCTCTAAGCAGCTATATAAACAGTAGATTTCCATGAGTTAGTATTTCTGCATCATTTTTAATTTAAAAAAAAAACAACTTAGGGATTTACCTTTTCACAGTTAAAAAAAAAGCCATAAGATACAATTAAACATTATATAAATCATCAGGAATTTGTTATGTATACTATTGCACTTCACATATTAAAATTCTTATGCAATCATTAAAAATGAGGTTGAAGAATAACACAGATAAGTTTCTCAATATAATTAACTGTAAAAGCAGTGCACCACACAGTATGCAAAGGTACATCTTTCATTTAAAAAGAATATATATATGATAGTCTAAAAGGTTATATCCCCTAGTAGTAACCACATTGGTTATCTCTGGGTGATAATATTACTAGTGACTTTTATATATGAAAAAGGGGTTCCTATCTGCATTATGTAATTTGTCTTCCTTCTTTACATAATAAACATAACAGCCTAAGTAGCATATAAACATTGGCCCAAACAACAACAGAACAATTTTCTGAAAAGACTACAATGCAATAATAGTGAATTCAAAATGGTATTTAGCAAGTCCTAAAAAGTATACTGTTGATAATTCAGAGCAAAGGAAAGTGGAGGGTGGGCTGGACACAGATGATTTTGTCTAGCAGATGTGTGTTGAGTTCAGTCTGTTACCCTAGTCATCTAAGTTAAATCTCAGAGAGTTTCTATTTTTATAATAAAAAAACTGCACACTATAGAAAATGTACAAGGTACATTTCATGTATGCACATTACATGCACAACTTTTTGCATCATGGACAAAAGCATATGATCCTGGGAGGCTGAGCAGAAGAGAGCTGGCTTCATGAAAAAGGGTCATTTCCCTCCTATTAATTTTTCCATCTTTGATCTTTTTTAGTAAGTGTTGAATACACACAAAATCTTGCTGTTCAGACTTACTTGCCAATTTTGGAGTTAAATATCTTCACATTAATTATCATTTTCTCTATTCTGTTTCTGTAGCAGAAGGCATGAAGGTGAACACAGACTTGGACAGACATAAATCCAGGATGCAAACATTACAGTTTAAATTTGTATTGACTTTAGAGGGAGTTTTAAAGGAAGGAGAACATGAAGAAGAGAATTTGGAAAGAAAAGAAAAATGATGGATGGGCAAACCCAAGTAGGTGTTGTGAAGTCACTGTTTTTTTGTGACTGCAAATACCTTGGGATATTTCTGACGTCTTCAGAAAGTGGCTCTCATCCTTTGTACTCAATATGGGATGATAACAGGACACAACTGTCGGGCCCCTCTGTATCTGAAAGTCCCGGTACTTCAGTGACACCACATGGTCCTTTCCTCTTTTTCTCATGTTTCATTGAAAGTAACTTCGTAGTTTGTTATCATCTCTAAATTACTTATATATCAAGGCATCCATTACATGTGAGGAGGAAACATGGTTTGTAATTCTTTTTGCCTTCCTAACTTTATTCTTGACCTGGGTAATATTTTATCTTTTCCAAGGGACTACTTAGTTTTCCTCTTCAGAGCAAGAACACTTCCCTCTTATTCATCAAAAGAAATGTCCTTATTAATCTGCCCTTGTATATTTTCCTCCAAAAGAATAAATAATTTCAAGACCAACAAACTCACTGTGGCAGAATATACAAAAACATCAATTCATGGTTTTCTCCCTGCATTTTCCCCATCCTCCCAACATACACATTTAGAGCAGGTAACTAGCAGCCAGCATTTGCAATTCCTTTCTGTAGTTATTTTTGTCAGGGCAAAATGCAGAGCAACCTGAACTCAATCACTCTTCCTGTCATTTGCAAAAGTCTAAACCCACTCACTGCTTCTTCAAGGTGTTCTGGCAAGCGAGGGGAAGAAAGAGAAAAGAGGAAAGGAGATTTCTGCAGAGATGAAGGCTGGCAAGTCTTGAGATCAGCCAGCCTTACTCTTATCTCTGACCCTGCCCCAGGAGATGGCTGGAGGGCTTCAGAGTCCAGCCACAGATGCTCTGCTTCTGCAGAGCCACCGGGCTGGAGGGACTCTGTACACAGGACAAAGGCCACCCTGGCACGTGACTAATAACCAAGAGGACCTTTCTGCTTCCTTGACACTGTGTAAGACACCAATCCTTTGCACAGTTTTGGGGTGTGCATGGGGTGAGGGGGATGAGTGAAGCAACAAATATAGAATAAAATGAAAACTCCTGCCAGCCAGATAGTCCTCCCACAGCTGCTATGGTGGAATGATATTCAGAACTGCTCCATTACAGAATTTTTACTTTTAATATTCCCTGAGCCTGGCATCCTTTGACCTCCTAGCAAAGAGTATCATTAGCATGCACTTATTTTATTTACCACTATTTCTTTGAGCATCCATGAATCTTTTTAAAAACTCTCTTCCATTTATAGGCATTTTACAACATGATTTTCTCTTTTAAAATTTTCTTACTTTGAAAAATCTCAAATGTACACAGAATTACAAAGAACAGTAAGATAAATCCCCACATCCCTATCATCTAGCTTCAATAATTATCAACATTTTTTTTTCTAATTTTGTTTCACTTATCAACCCAACTATTTTGTCACTGAGAAATTTCAAACCAAGTCAGAGACATCATAACATTCTACTTGTATAAACATCAGTAAACATCTTTCACAGGCAGGTCATTTTATAAATATAGGATCACAACACCTTTATCACATCTTTAAAAAAGGCAGACAGTAATTCTTCAAATTAATCTAAAACCAGTCTATATTACAAATTTCCAGATTGTCTTAAAACATGTCATTTATAGTTGGCTTCTTTCAATCACAATACAAACAAAATACATATAGTATTTTGTAGCCTGATTTTCTATGACAGTAAAGAAACCATGTTGTTGTTTAGTCACCAAGTTGTGTCCAACTCTTTTGTGACCCCATGAACTGTAGCCTGTTAGGCTCCTTTGTCTATGGGATTTCTCAGGCAAGAATACTGGAGTCATTTCCTAGGACTTCCCTGATAGCTCAGTTGGTAGAGAATCCTGCCTGAAATGCAGGAGACACTGGTTCAATTTCTGGTTTGGGAAGATCCGCTGGAGAAGGGATAGGCTACCCACTCCGGTATTCCTGGGCTTCCCTTGTGGTTCAGCTGGTAAAGAATCCACCTGCAATGCAGGAGACCTGGGTTCCATCCCTGGAAGGGAAAGGCTACTCACTCCAGTATTCTGGCCTGGAGAATTCCATGGACCAGAGTCGCAGAGTCAGACACGAATGAGTGACTTTCACTTTCTCCAGAGGTTCTTCCTGACCCAGGGACTGAACCTGTGTCTTCTGCATTGGCAGGCAGGTTCTTTACCGCTGAGCCACCAGGGAAGCCATACCCACATTTAAATTATTGTGCAGACTGTATGAGGCTAGCCTTCTTTACTGAGAACACACTTTGGAAACAAAGAATCTGTGCAACCGTATAAGTTTTCCACCACAGAAAATTTTACTCTTACCCAATCCGCAAAGCAAAATCTTGAGCTATGTATAGCAGCAGGAAAATAAACTTCACTTAGATTATTTCTTCTTAAATCACAGATTTAGTATACTTTTCCCATCTCTAATTGTCAGCCACATGGTCTTGTTTTGAAGTATTTAGGGCACCTGCTAGTTGGGCTGCTGGAGTTGTGTATTTATGCACACATAGCAGTCTGTTAGGGAAGTATTGATTTTTCTACAGCAGTTATAAGACGCTGTGTTTGCAAATGTGGAAGAGGAGCCCACTTTATATTTAGTAAGGATGTTAGTTCAACTAAAAATAGAAAGAAAAAACTTAACCTTGCAGCATGATGAATGGCAAAGGTGGAACACAGCAGTAGAGAATCACCTCTTTCTTTGTAGACTACTCTTGCAAGTATAGGTACAAATAAATAAATTTGAGGGGATTTCATGCTTTACTCACTTTCATTTTTTATGGAGGTAACACTGGTTTATAACATCATACAAATTTCATGTGTACATTATATTTTGACTTCTGTATACACTACAGCATGCTCATTATCAAAAATTTAGTTTTCATCCATCATTGAACTGTTGACCCCTTTACTTATTTCACCCTTTTCTACCTCCCTTCAGAGGCCAGACAGAAGAAGCAAGACCTACAGCCCCATGCCCTCCAGAATGAAAACGACAATCACAGAAAGCTAACCAAAATGATCATATGGATCACAGCTTTGTGTAACTCAATGGAGCTATGAGCCATGCAGGTCCACCCAAGACAGACAGGTCATGGTGGAGAGTTCTGACAAAACATGGTCCATTGGAGAAGGGAATGGCAAATCACTCACGTATTCTTGTTTCAAGAACTCCATGAACAGTATGAAAAGGCAAAATGATATGATACTAGAAGATGAGCCCTCCAGGTCAGTAGATGTCCAATACGCTACTGGGGAAGAGTGGAGAAATAGCTTTAGAAATAATGAAAAGGCTGGGCCATAGTGGAAATGATGCTCAGCTGTGGATGTGTCTGGTGGTGAAAGTAAAGTCCAATGCTGTAAAGAATAGTATTGGATAGGAACCTGAAATATTAGGCCCATGAATCAAGGTAAACTGGACATGGTCAAGCAGGAGATGGCATTTTAGGAATCAGTGAACTAAAATGGATGGGAATGAGTGAATTTAATTCAGATGACCATAATATCTTCTAGTGGGCAAGACTCCCTTAGAAAAGGAGTAGCCCTCATAGTCAACATAGGAGTAGAAAATTCAGTACTTGGGAGCAATCTCAAAAAAGACAAAATAATCTTAGTTCATTTCCAAGGCAAACATCACAGTAACCCAAGTCTATGCCCCAACTACTAATGCTGAAGAAGCTGAAGTTGAATAGTTCTATGAAGACCTAAGATCTTCTATAACA